GCCCTGTCGCCACACTCGCCATGAAGAGCCCTCCAGATGTCCCTCCTCTCCTGCAGTGCTGGCTGGCTACGGGAGCAGATCAGCCCTGGATCAGCACGGGAGTCCTCTCTACCTGGGTAGTAGCCTTGGCTGCCAAACTATCTTCGAATGCTGCACAAGCGCACCTACTATTTCCACCTGTCATTCTGCCGTCGGATGACCCCCGTGTTGCAATGTGGTGATTTGGGACGGGAGAAACCTTTGTACTTCATGCCCTTGGACACTTCGGGGACTGGGAGCTCTGACAAGCCTGCGCCAGTCCGTCAGCCTGTCAGACGCAACTGGCCATGATGGGAATGGTCGTCTTGATCATGTCTGCAGGGCTCAGCAGCAAGGCGAAGCGGCCGAGCCTCCGCCAAGCAGGCCATGTCGCATGCCAATCTCAGTATTCAAGTGCGGTGTGCAGTCGTGTCCCGTGTGGTGTGGTAATATTTATGCCGTGTGGTACTTGGCTGCGCCGCCAATTTCGCCGTGCCTGTTGCTGTACTCCGTGCGGTTGTCAATTCAATCTCGGTCATGAGCCCATGAGCCCCTCTCGGCTCCATTTCGATTAGCGCTGTCCGGGCAAGACGGGCTGCAAGTGCTGGGCGGGTAAAAGCTAGACTTCTGACCCTCCTGCTCCACCGGCAGCGACTCGACTTTCGGCCACCACGCCCCAAGCCTCGAGCCTGGAGCCCGCAAGACCCGTTGGCCGCACTTGACCGCACCCAGCAGCCAGGAGCCGGGAGACTGGAGTCAGAGTCCACCCAGCCATGTCCGGTCGTTCCTTCTGTCTTGAGTGCGGCGCCTGTGCTTTTTTTTCCTCGCCCTCCTGGCCCACCCTCGATCAATTATATTCCCATCCGACTGCTCAAGCACCCTCCTCTTCACTTTCTCACGTTCTGGTTATTGGCTTTTGCTGCAATTCTTTCGGCGCTTCATCTGACATCTCGTCAGCTCTGCGTCTCGGCCGCGTTTTGCCCATTGGGCATTTGCAGCCTGCGTTTTTACTCTATCGACGTTTTGCCTTGTGACGTCGACAACGTCACATTGCTTAGGTTGACGTGCCTGTGGTCTCACGTTTATTTTTTTCGCCCCAGGTCACCCGTGCAACACCAACTCTCCCACCAGCCGACTGTCCAACGCCGCTGCTGCCACGACTGCTGGGATTGCCGTCCTTTTCCGCATATCGCTATCGCGCCACCATCCGACAAACGTCATCTGGAATCTGCCAAGGATAGTACAACCGCATCCTTCCTCTCACCAAGGCGACGCCACTGCGCTTTTCTAGCCAAACGGAATCGTCTTGTGTTCATCTTCCTTGTGAGGTAATCTTGTACCTCGCAACTAGGGAAAGAAAAGGCGGCACCTCAGCTTGCATCAAACACGGCCTTTGGTGTCTTATAAATCGCCCCGACGACACTCTTTCATTCGATCCATTCAGTTGCTCGGCTCCTACTTCTTGGAATATGTTTTGTTTCCGATTATAGCATCCGGGTCCTAAGGGCCACCAAACTTTTTATCAAATCCTCACTCTCAATAGAGTAGAGGTCTGCACTGGCTTGTAGTTCTCGTCTGCGCGACGCTACACTCCCAAGTCTACGACCAGAACTCTGCTCACTTCTATCTCCTTCTCCCCCAGGAAGGCCACAGCTTCGCTGAGTATCGATTCCTGGTGTGTCGATTCTATACCCTGAGGTCTTCTTTCCTTGACATTGCGCCGCTGGCCTACACACTCTCTTGTAATGACCAAGACCCGTCATATCCGTTTACTTTGTCTACATTCGAACTCAACAATTTATATACCCTCACCATGGATATTACAACTTCCCCTTCACAGATTCCAGCTTGGGTGTCTCTGACATCAGAGGAAACTGAGGACGTTGATGAACCCCCAGAGCGGCATCAGAAGTTTGAGAGAACGTGTATTCGACGTCCTCAGGACCAATCGTCACTTCTTACCAAGGCTATCTTGGCTGAACCAGAGGAGGTGCCTTCACATCCTGCTCATTCCATTCTCTTGGGCACTCAACGGCGACGATCCATGACCAGCAACATCAGTGTTGCTTCCACTGCAGATCTCACTAGTGATACTGGTATGACGAGCCCCTGCCGCACGAATACTCCTAGTCCTCCAATCCCCGAGATGGCTGCTCTTCGATTGCACCATGAAATTGGCACCGCGGAGAAGAACCACCTCGCCGTCGCCGCCGCTCCGCAGCCTCCCAAGAAGCGATGTATTCAGTTTGCATGCGCTGCCAAACCTCCCGTTGCTCAAGCTGAGGCGATGGTAAAGGCACCTTCTGCAGACCAGGCTCCCCGACGACCATCCATCAAGTTTGCTCCTCATGTAGGGTCGGCATCAACTCAAAATACACCTCCAAGGCAGATTTCTGATCCCGGCACACGGCCTCATTTGGCTACGAATTCCGAGTCACCATCAACTCCTAAAAAGACGTCTGCTCTCTCTACTGCTCTTCACACGTCGCCGCGCCCATCTGCCGTCCATCGCCTGTCAAATAAGATTACCCTTGCTCGACCCAAATTCCTCCGTGCCAACTCCAAGGATCTCGCAAAGGATAGCTCCCAGTTTCACGAATTTGCAAGTGGTACAGCTCGCGAAGAAGATTGGATCAGGCAACCTTCATCAGCGGCAACGAGACTAACTATCTATGACACATTGACGAAGGAAAACCACTTTCGTCGTCTCGGAGCCGAAGCCGAAGAGGAGGCAGAATTGGAAGAAGAGGAAGCTGAAGCTGGCTCAGATGAAGATGAAGAGGAGGAGGAGGATGACGACGATGGGGAGAATGATGATGACTTAGAAGAAGATGGCGAAGAAGATTTTCAAGAAGATTCTGATGGCTATCACACCGACTCTGAGACTGGTTTCGCCGACTCCGATGAGGAAGATGAAGAAGAGGATGAAAACATGGTTCTCTGGACTCCCAGCCATGCCACTAGCCGTCAGATTCAAGTCGTGGCTCCCATACGACGACCATCGGTGAATGAGCCCCAGTCTGATTCATCGGCCGCTAGCTATGGCAGCCGATCAAGCACTCGACGAACTAGGCCTCGACGTATCAAGGCCGAATCCGACGCACCAGATCTGCCCGACAGTACCGATTTCGTTTGTGGTACTTTGGATGAGGACAGACCTCTAGAAGAAGCCTATCTTTCTTGCTTGGCAGCTCGCCGCAATGAGAAATTACGAGTCATTCCACAAGATATTGACCCCAGCTTTCCAGCTTCTGATCCTGATAATGATGACGAGGAGGAAATCTACAACCCTGTTCACCACGACAGCGATGATGATGTATGGGTTCAAGGCCGGATGGAGGATCTCCACCATGGCCAGGACCGCTCCCGCCGAAGAAGAAAGAGCGAACAGGCATCGCCTCGCAAATATCGCTCTCCGCCACCAAGACGACATCATTCCCCTGCTCCCAAGAATCGAGGTCGCTCTCCTAAGCCATTGTTTGGGCGACATTCTCCCAAGAGAATCCGGTCTCCAGCACCAAAGGCGATGAACACTCCGTTGCAGACGCCACGACAAGGTCCTCACGTTCAATTTCACTTGGCTGGTCGACCAGGCATGACGCAAACGAAGTCTTTGCCTCGAGCTCCCGCAATGTTTCCACCCATGAAGGGCAGCAAGACAGCCAGGCACCAGCATCACCATGACTCTGACTGCCATCTTCGAGGCGCTATTGACATCGTCAAGGGCCTTGAACGCAAACGTCAACGCCGCAAGGAAAAGTTTTTCCAAAAGTACTGCAATCGCGCAAGACGTGGCCAAATTCCAGAGCGCAAGCCTCAGCCCGGGCGAGGCGCCGAGCGTATGAAGGAGCTCGGCTTGCTCATGGCTGGCAAGAAGGATCAGGGCAATTATGTCATGTCTATCTGAAGACATCACTACACTTACTTATGCTAGTCCTGAGTATCAGAGGACTATATCAAAGCGCTCAAGGTGTCTACGTCCCTTTTCAAGAGCGCCAAATTGGCGGCAAGTGTTATCAACATCTTTCTTCCTACACTTGGGTAATGGATTCCATTTTTGTCCGTATGTTATGACTCCACGACTTTTTTTCCTGTACATATCTAAAGCCACTTGTTTCGGACCTTTTGCTTTATCATCCTTAAAGGAATTGCTTCGGGTGTGAGCACCCTTGTATATAATTTCACTTTCTCACCACAAATGAACTTGCACATCGGTCAATTTTTTTTTTGTCATTGGAGACGGCATATTGCAATCGCTAGGATACCCTTTGCGAGAGAGTTTGGGCGCGGGGAAAGGCATTTTAGATAGTGGCTGAAGTCTACACATCAAAGACAGAAGGGTGGATATTTTTGAACTCTTGCTAATACAATATTATTGGCTCTGAAGGACATTTGAATGTGATGAGTAAACTGCTCTCTCGTGTTGAAGTGGCATGTTTGCCTGGCGATGGGTGTGATGACAAACCATACCTGGGAGGACTCTCGGCAATAACAGTGTAGTGGTTTGGCTGACTTGATTGCAGAATACGACAATCCGGAATATGGACAACATTGAATTAATAACATTGGGCTCGGGATGCCGGGACAACAATCAGATGACTGCACTTGGGCAGACTTAAATCTGTGTGTGGTTCACCCATCCGTAGCGTTGATTGGTCGCGCGCCACTTGTACAATTGAGGTGCCACTTGCCACTGCAAGCTCACGCTCCCTAAGCCGAGGAGCGGCGACCTAGACTGTAGCATCATCTGTGCCTGAGGATCCAGGCACCACAACTTCTCGTCAGGACACTCTTGAATTAACTGCCAGGTCAGAGCCGTGCACACTACGGATTTTTGGTGTATTTCTTCGGCCCATCACGTCCGCAATCCAGCATCCGTTTTCGACCCCAAACATCATTTTCACGGTATCAAACATCATCTTTTCGACCTCAATCATCATTTCGACTGGCTCTGGAAACACGGTTCAGAAATATAGCCCACCATGTGGATCGTCAATTGGTGTATGTCTGCCAAACATCCCCTTTCCCTCCATCTTCTGCCTGTTACCCCCGTCATGATTGCATACCAAAGCTCCGCGTCTTTGGTGTCCTAACTTGTCCTAATTTTCCAACTCCCTAGTTTACGATGTTCTTTCCTCCCTTGGCCTGTTGAACAAGCACGCCAAGCTACTGTTCCTCGGTCTTGACAATGCCGGAAAGACGACGTTGCTGCATATGTTGAAGGTATGCCAAACTTGCGCGACAATCGTTGGACTGCGAGCCCCCTTTCGATCTCTATGGGATGTCGATCTGCTTTCGATCAATACGAATACGAGGCGGGATAATGAATACAGTGGATGATGACATGTTTGATGGGCGATGCTAACGATGTGGACTGGATAGAACGACCGTGTTGCCATCCTGCAGCCTACTCTTCACCCCAGTGAGTTCTGCCCCGGGGCATTCGGACGATGAGGCCCAGCGCGCGCTCGTTCGCTGCCACAAACGTGGCATTTTGCTAATCGTACTGTTGTAGCCTCTGAGGAGCTTGCCATAGGCAATGTCAGATTTACCACATTTGACTTGGGTGGTCACCAACAGGGTATGTACACATCGTGTCTAAGGCTGTGTGCCTGCTTGCTCTGCGCTCTCAGAGACTTACTGTTCCACTTAGCCCGCCGCATCTGGCGAGACTATTACCCCGAGGTCAATGGCGTCGTCTTCCTGGTAGACGCTAAGGATCACGAAAGGTTCGCCGAGACGAAAGCTGAGCTCGACGCTCTCCTTGCTCTTGAGGAATTGTCCAAAGTTCCCTTTGTCATTCTTGGAAACAAGATTGACCACCCCGACGCCGTGTCGGAGGAGACACTCCGACATGAACTGGGCTTGTATCAGACCACCGGGAAGGGAAAGGTCCCTCTGGATGGCGGCGTCCGACCGATTGAGGTTTTCATGTGCTCTGTGGTTATGCGACAGGGATATGGCGAGGGGATAAAGTGGCTCGCGCAATATGTGTAATGCATAAATAGGGCTGTGCAGCGAATACAATTATGTAGCGATTAGGAACTAATTCAATGCTTTTTGTTATGCACGAGTTACCTGGGTAATGTGTGGACGTGACGAGTGATTGATGAGATGTAGCATTCTCCTCGGACGGAGCTGAATTAGGCCGATACTATAATACTTACTCTAATAGACTACAGTATGTTGGCGTATACTTGTTGTTGGGCAAATATATCCTGCTGTAATGTGACGGCTGGGAGGAACTGTGACTGGGCTGTATGATATAATCGGTTAGGCGTGAGGAAGCCGACCTTGGTAATTTGTACTCGTGTGAATATTCACGATAAAATACCTTGTACTCCGTAGTAAGCCGGCAACAAATAGTAGCATAAGTACCTACTTAGGGACGTACCAACAGACTCGACCCCCAAATGCATCCCCGACAGGATGTTGGGAATATTCAATGTTTCCCCCCCCAGCCCCGAGCCAATCAGCAATGTGACCAAGGGAACGAATGCCTCCATGTCCAAGAATTCCATTCTTGCTGCCCAGCTAAGCGGCCCAACCATTTGCTAGTGATGTTCCATTGATTGCTTGCGTTAATACCCTGTTTGACGGCCAAGTCAATGGGATCAATTGATGGCATGGCTGAGAGTTGGTGCAACATTGTACAACAGCGCACAGGTGCAGTGGGTTCTGAAGAACCTGAGTGGAGTTGCCAGGCCGCCGAAAGGCCCCCAACAGACGTAACCAGTGACCACTTGACAGGCCGGCCACATGTCTGGTGAGCAGCAGACGTCATGTTCATGAAATGGTGGGGACAACATCGGCTTCACCCTTCAATGTTCAATCTTGCGCGTTGTACGGAGAAGGGAGTTCAACATCTCATCGAAAAAGAAGGCACAGGTACCTAGGTATCCAGCATGGGATCCCTTTCATGAGCTCGCATTCCGAAGCCGTATGCCTCGATCCTAAATCTACCATTAACAGACAGATCGAGCGAGCAAATATCCCAACAGCTGGCAGACTTGCCGGCCAACCCGCGCGGGAGCGGACAATGCCACACGATGCGGTTTACGGATTCCCACCGGAAGCATTTGATGCATCTCTCCTGCCTGACATCAATCGACAGTTTCTCGAGCCGCATGACATCGAGGCCTTCGTAAGGGCGCTCCAGGCGCCTGACCCGTTGCACAGCCCAGCCGACGAGACGGGCGGACTCAAGTCACCCAGGAGCGGTGCCAGCCCGGCCACCCTGACGAAGCGAAATTCACAAGCCGGGCTGGATGATGCGAACGACCATAAAAGTGCCGATGCAATTGCCGCCGCTGCAGCAGCCGTTGGAGGCGACCTCCCAGCGCCGACGGACACGCCGACCCAGGGAACATTCTTCACGGCCCAGAACGACTGGGCGCCCGTGAGCCCAGCTCTCTACCGACGCCGTAGATCATCCAAGAAATGTAAACAAAAAAAAGGCGCTAGCAAAGCTGTCGAAGGGCTCCTCGGCACACGGACCAAGGACGAGACGCGGGAAGGCTACCTTTACCAGCTGTCCAAATGGCCGCTGTTGATATTTGTGTTTGCATGGCTGACAGGCCTGGCAATTGCATATCTCTCAACCCGATGGTACATTTGGGTGTACGAACACTTCTTTACTTGGCGCGGCCGACGGGAAACGCTCCGGAGGAACATGCGCAAAGCTTCAACGTACGAGGAATGGGTTTCCGCAGCGAGAGAACTAGATGCGTTTTTGGGACGGCAGACCTGGAGGGAGGAGAATGAATTCGCCTACTACGATTCGAAGACGGTCAAGCGGGTGTGGGATCAGCTGAAGAAGCTGAGGATCAAGGCCGAGGCACAGGAGATTCAGAGCGCGCGGCAGCATGGCGATCATAAGACTGCCATGGAGGATCTCAAATCCATGGTGGAAGCGTGCGTCAAGAATAACTTTGTTGGCGTGGAGAATGCAAGGCTCTATAGTCAGACATACTATGGGACCAAGAATTTGGTGCAGAATTTTGTCGATGAAGGTGAGCTGATGGGGAATCCAAGGAAAGGGGGGCGTCGTACGGCTGCTAATGGAACGCGTCAACAGTGGAGAGGAGCATCAAGCTCCTGTTGCGAACGAAGCAGTTGGGGACTGAGGAGAAGCGCCTGCTGTTCAAGCATGTTTATGCCAACTACGGCCGCACTGCCTTGTGCCTTTCGGGGGGAGCTGGCTTTGCCTATTACCACCTCGGCTTGGTCAAGGCGTTGCTGGACGCAGATCTACTCCCGGACGTTATCACAGGCACGAGCGGCGGCGCCCTGATAGCTGGGCTTGTGGCCACGAGAACAAACGACGAGTTGAAGAAGCTTCTGGTTCCGGCGCTGTCTCAGCGCATCAATGCCTGCCGAGAATCGGCAACCGCCTGGCTACCAAGATGGTGGAAGACGGGTGCGCGCTTCGACTCGGTCGACTGGGCTGAGCGATGTAGCTGGTGGACCAGGGGCTCAATGACCTTTCGCGAGGCATACGAACGAACCGGCCGCATTCTGAACGTCACTTGCGTCCCTGCGGATCCTCACTCTCCCACCATTCTATGCAACTATCTCACCTCCCCCGACTGCGTCATCTGGTCCGCGGTCCTCGCCTCCGCCGCCGTCCCTGGCATCCTCAACCCCGTGGTTCTCATGATGAAGCTCCGAGACGGCACGCTTGCGCCCTATTCCTTCGGCCACAAATGGAAAGACGGCTCTCTCCGAACCGACATCCCTATCAAGGCGCTCAACACGCACTTCAACGTAAACTTTACCATTGTCAGCCAGGTCAATCCCCACATCAACCTGTTCTTCTTTTCGTCTCGCGGCTCCGTGGGCCACCCCGTCACCCATCGCAAAGGCCGCGGGTGGCGTGGCGGCTATCTCATGTCGGCCTTCGAGCACTACCTCAAACTTGACATGAACAAGTGGTTGAAGTTTGTGCGCTACGCAGAACTGCTCCCCCGCCCCCTGGGCCAGGACTGGAGCCAGCTGTGGCTCCAGGAGTTCAGTGGCACAATCACCATCTGGCCCAAGTCTGTCCCCAGCGACTTTTACTACATTCTGTCGGACCCTGATCCCAGCAGGCTAGCGCGAATGCTACACCAGGGACAGCAAAGCGCGTTTCCCATGTTGAAATTCGTGACGAATAGGTTGAAGATTGAGCGGTTGGTGGAACAGGGGAGGAGGGAGACCAGACCGTGGGCGAGGAGAGGCAGTATTCAGGCAGTTATGAGCGAGGAGGACCTGAGGAGCTTGCTGGTTGGGGAGATGGCGGGGGTGACGACGGAGGAGGATACAGACGGGGATGGGGAAGAGGCGATTACCTTGACTGCTGTCGAGGAATAGAAGAGCTGAGGGTGGGTGGTGTTTTCAACAGCTTTGCTCATTGAGACGAGTTGGCTGTTTTTTTCTTCTTGTGGCGTGTGTGGGATGACGAGATTGTTACACTTGATATGGCGAGCGTTTAGACATAAAATGGCCGCTCCCGTCATTTCTAGATCAAGACGCAATGATGTATGAGACTTGCGGTGTGATTTTGTTTGCGTGAAGGACGGTGCTGTTGGATATCACGCCGTCTATTCCATCACAGACAGTGGTACATTGCGCGACACGGGTTCCCTTTACTCCGTACAGGCCGTTAGATACGGTAGTCCTGCGCACTCTGTCGTCTGAATACAGAAGATGGCTTTGTATCAATGTTCCTTGAGCAGTGCGTTTTCGCCTAAGTACGGAGTACGTAGTAAGTGCGACTAGTACTCCGTACTTTGTAGTTGAATGGTTTGTTAACCTCTGCTGTGGCTGACACCAGCCCCATGGCAATGCGATGTGGTCTAGCGGCGGCTCTGCTACCGGACCCCAGGGCCAACAGGGGGCAGGCCGCACTGGCACCACATGTGACGTCTGGACGCAGACGGACGCTCCTTCCCAGTCTGTCTACTGAATTGAACACGGTGGCGGCATTGTGGTCCGCTAACCAAAGTGGTCTGGGGGAGCCACGGATAATCCGATCGCCGGCTTTGGTGCCACGGCGAAAGGACACCATTTAGCACTTTAGAAATTGGGCAGACAATTCGTGCTTGCTGATGCTTCATTGAGGCCACCTGGTGATTCGGACAACAAACATAAAATCTGCGGCCGCCCGCACCACTGTGCAAGAGGAGGGACTTTTAATAATTCTTGTTCATTTATACCCACGGCTCCAAGGGCGCATTGAATTACGCCTCATCGTGCGTTCGGACGAGCTGCCAGATTGTCTGATCTTGCTGCCCACCCACACGAAAGCTATTATTTCCTGCTCGCGGCAGGGTTCGCCTGCTCGGCCTTTGTCGCCACAATGAGTTCCGACTACTCATACGATGACCAGGTAGACTCTCACCAGATTTAACAGCATTTCTTCCATTTGTCATGCGCAGTCGACACGAAGCAGGATTGCATCGCAGCTTTGCTAACGCACCCCCCAGGCTCAGTTCTTCCCCTTCTTCATCCTCACATTGACCGGCCTGGTCACTCTCCCAATCACATACAACCTACTGCAGTCTAGCAAAGACGATTCGCATCTCGCCCCACGCATACAGACCGACTACAAGATTCAGCATGGAGACGTCGTGGCGTCACTACGCGCGGCTCAGAAGAGGAAGCAGCGCAAGATCAAGAGGGCGCTTGTCGCCGTGGCCGGCTGGGGCTTGATGGGACTGATGGCATATTTGATCATGACGACGAATCCTGCCGAGCAGAAGCTTTGGAATCCCTACGATATTCTGGGCATCTCAGAAGTATGCGCCTCCCTCCCCATCCCCTCACCCTTTTTGCTGCTGGCGTGCATCTCTCGGATCATCAAGTCGACTGACAATGTCTGCAGTCTGCCTCGGAAAACCAAATAAAGTCACACTATAAGCGCCTGTCCGTCAAGTTTCACCCTGACAAGCTCCAACCCGATCCTGCCAAAAATGAAACGGTCGAGTCTCTAAATGAACACTATGTCGAACTCACCAAGGCCTACCAAGTCTTGACCGATGAGGATGTTCGCAAGAATTATATTCAGTACGGCCACCCTGATGGCAAGCAGAGCATGAGCATCGGGATTGCTCTGCCCAAGTTTATTGTTTCCGACGGCAACGGCAAATACCTTGTTGTCTTGTACACGGGCCTTCTCGGCGTTTTGCTGCCATATCTTGTCGGTTCCTGGTGGTACGGCACCAAGAAGCGTTCCAAGGAGGGCGTTCTCATGGAGAGCGCCAACAACTTGTTCCGCCACTACGACGAGGAAATGGACGAGTCTGGCATCATTGCAGCTCTGAGCGCTGGCAAGGAGTTTGAGAGCGTTCTCAGGGGCGACCAGGCAGAGTCTGGCTTGTCCAAAATCGAGTCACGCATCTCTGCTGAGGGCGAGGCCTCACCTTTTGCCTCTGGGTTCTCAGTCAAGGACAAGGGGAGGCTTGAGGATCTCGACAGCGGTGTGAGGCGCAAGGTCCTGGGCCTTCTTTGGGCTTATCTCGGCCGTGTTGAGCTCGACGACGCCGCTCTGACCAAGGCCAAGTACGACATCGCCCCCATTGCCCGCGCTCTGAACCAGTCCTTTGCTGCCATTGCCCTGGCCTTTGGCAACATTGGTCCCATTTCCGGCTCCTTCCTCGCCAATCAGCACATTATACAAGCTCTGTCTCCCAAATCTTCTCCTCTCCTCCAGCTCCCTCACTTCACTTCCAAGATTGCCATGGCCGTCGAGGGCGACTCCAAGACGCACATGACTGTCCAGCAGTTTATGGATCTGCCCGATGCCCAACGCCGCCAGTTGTCAGTTGGAAAGGGCCTGCTTTCAGAGAAGCAGTACAAGTCTGCCGTCAGCGTAGCCAAGCAGCTCCCCTACCTACGAGTTGCCAAGGCCTTCTTCAAGGTTACCGGCGAGCGATGCATCATCCCGTCCTCTCTCGTCACCCTGGTTATCAAGGGCCGGTTTATCCCCCCCGGCACCCAGAATGTTCCCGCAGTCAACGACCTGGATCTGGAAGATGTTGACCCCGCTGAGGACGATCTCGATGCGCTCATGGGCCGCAAGAAGAAGACCATTACCGGACCTGATGGCAAGCCTACTTCTGTTGAAGAGCAGAGCATTCTCCCTCCCCTGGCATTTGCCCCTCACTACGCCCGCGACCACACCCCCAAATGGTATGCTTTCTTGAGCGACTCGAAGCAGGGCAAGATGGCTGTCCCCCCCTTCACCTTTGACCGATTCGACGAGCCCATCTTCGACGAGCAGGGCAAGCCCACGTTCAACATGCAGACTCTCAAGGCACAGTTCGCCGCTCCACCGCAAGCCGGCCACTTCACATTCGTCATGCACGTCATTTGCGATTCGTACGTTGGTTTCGATACCAAGATGGAAGTGACTCTGGTTGTCGAGGAAGCCGCAAAGGCAGCCGAGATGGACGCTGAAGATGATATTTCCGAACCCGAAGAGGGTAAGTTTTCCACGCACTCCCCCCCGCGCCCAGCAGAGATGCGCATACTGACAAATGTAGATTCCATCGCCGGCCAAATGCACGCCCTCAAGACAGGTCAAGCACCGCAGCCCAAGAGACGGAGAGTAGACGAGGAGTCGGACGACGAGAGCGGCACCGAGGAGGAAGAGGAAGAAACGAGCGACACCAACACTGACACTGAAGATGAGTCATAGACGGGGTTTGTGAATTATTCTATTTGTTTAGTAATTGAGGGTGATGAAAAATCGGGCTAGGGGGAGCAGGCACCTACTGTAGACTCGGTGCATGCACGGATACCAGTTACTTTACATGACGTGACTACTTGTCGATTGACATGTCGCAACAAATAATTGTGTACCTGGTCGGTTGATTGCCTCCTACGTGACCAGTGCTCAGGCTAACAAGTGTACGAGGGGGGGAAATAGTAGTATATTAAACGCATCATGAATAGTCAAGGGCTGATACTGTGACAACTTGACTGCATCGCGCCCCCATGAATGGTTATACATATAATGTATATGAAAGGTGGCTTCTCGAGTCTAAATCTACATATACCAATATACATACAGTGCACCTGCAGCACAACCCACCAGGGGCTCACATCCCACCCAACCAAACAAACAAGAAAAAAAGTAAAACAGCATGGCGCTTTGCAGCGTCTTTAATCAACAAACCCTCACGCCGCAGACCTCGACGCCCTTCCCTTCGATTCTCGAGGCCCTGCCGAAATACGCGTCGACCAAATCTTGTACAAACGCTGCGTCGGACGCACTCCACACGTCTAGACCCATGTTCTCAATACAGTGGCTATCTACAGTGATGACATTTGCATCTAGACCTAGACCGCCGCTATTCAACAAAACCTCAGCCTCGTCGCCTTCCTGGTCGTCTAACTCGCTGCCTTGTTCGTCTCTGTACGGAGAGGGATACGCCTCGTCGGCGGACTCGACGAGGTCGACTATTATGGAGAGCATTTGGGTAGTAAGACGGTGGAAGTAGGCGATGATGGCGAGTTCGGTGCGTGCTTCGTCGGGGTTGGATGCGCGGCGGCTGGTGAGGGAGGCGAGTGATTCGGACAGGGGGCGGGGGGAGGACGCGGGTGCGGGCGCGAGGTCCGCAAGGAGAGCCGCGTCCCGGGAGGACTCTTCATGTTCTTCGGAGCGTAGCTGCTCGCCGGCGGATGCCCACCACATGTAGCCGTTGTAGGCTAGTGCAGCCCACGATAGAGGCTCGATGAGCTCGTCAATGTGAGGGTCCTCCTCGTCCTTGACGAGCCGGTGGGAGTGGCTGGTGGAGAGGCGAACGGCAGAGGAGTTAAAGGGTGGGGAGTCTGGCTCTTGCTGTTGAGGGGAGGAGGCGAGGCGGATGAGGCCGCTGCGAAGGGCGTTGAAGCGCCGCAGGTCGCGTTGGGTAGCTTTGACAGGTGTGCCACGGGGGTACTCTACTGTTGGCCAGACTTTGTCCACGGCGTTGGTGGAGTGCTCCGGGGGCATGGTGATGAGCATGTCCCAGAGGGTGTCTTTCATGGCTAGAATGCTGTCTGTGGTACAAGCGATCCAGCCGGAACCTGCCTCTCCTCCGGAGTCTGCGGTGCCGTCTTGGCGGCGCTTGGAAGCCTCAAAGTCTTCCATGAGAAAGGGAATGTCGTGCACGCCAATGGTGAATAGGGGCCGTAGGCGTGGCGTGGGTGATGAGGGTGGGAGTCTATCGGCAACGGAGAAGGGTATATTAGAAAGAATTGAAATGTCGTATACTGAGATGAGTTAGTGCATGTGTTTCTTTGGTGAGAGGGGTTTTAGCATATTGGTATCGGAGTGTCGGGACCTTACCAAAGTCACAAATTTCATGAACAGGAGCGTGACAAGAGATGAGAATCCGCTTGCGTAGCAGTGCTGCTCTATGGATAGGGAATATAAGAGGACCAAACTTGTCCAAAAGACTGACCAAGCTCCAGGCAGGGTGAAATGGGCTCAGCCTGTGCTCAGCAGGCGGCAAGGAGGTCCCGTCCGATGCCGAACCCTTGCGCTTGTGTGTTCTTCGCTCTTGAGTTGGTGAATCGGGCAGGTTGGCTGGCCCCAAGTCGTTTGGCTGTCCCTCGTTCTCGCTGGCCTTGTGAGAATTCCAATACTTTTCCAAAACACCAGTCTGACTGCGATCTTTGGCCAAGATGCTGAGATGGTCTGTTAGCAGTGGTTTTGGTTCTTGTAAGAAGCAGTGGGATGCAAACTTACGCCGCCAACTCCTTCAAATTCTCGGCATGCCTCCAAGCTCTCCCCAGTCGCCCATAGCTCAATGGTACGAGGACCCCTACGGCAATCATCCTGGCATTCCTAGCTTCCTCCTCCTCACATGGCTCATTTACAAAGGCACTGAGGCCGGCGTGGGCGCCGTCGACAAAGTAAATCAAGTCATGGCGAACGGTGTGCAAGCCCGACGGCAGCGACTTGTACTCGACCTGGCCGTCTAGTTCGACATGAGGCACGGAGCGCTTCCAGGTAATGGTGTAGCCGGCTTTGACGTCGAAATCGATAAGAAACAGGGCGGATACGGGCGGAAGTTGCTCGGGCACGGCGGAATTGGGGGCGATGGAGAGAGAGAGAGAGGATTGGCGGTGTCGTTGATTCCTGCGTGATGGCGCCATTGCCATTGTGGAGGCTCTCGTGTGAGGCTCAGAGGAGCATGTTCCGTTCCAAGGTCGCTGGAAGCTTGGCAGATTGGATGGCTAGGCAGTTGTGTCGGGGACGTCGGAGGGATGGCGTCGGGGGCGGGAGTTGCGACGTCGGCGGATGAAATGCGAGGCGGGTGGAGGTTAGCCGAAGAAGAAGCACGTTACTAAATGACGCAGGCAGAAGTCCGGGTGGCCAGAAGGAGGATTGGCGATGGCGGTCAAGGTTGCGCATGGAAAGTGAAGCGGATGGTGGTCGTTTGGTGATGATGGTGTGTAAAGTAGTCGACTTGGCTGGAGTAGCGGCGGGTATATTTGCGTGAGTGGCTGCGTCTGAGGCGGCACAAAAGTGGCATAGCGCTTCATAACTCTTGGGTACGTGCCCAGGTACTTAAGTAGTGATTGCTATTAGTAGTAGTACTACTACTAGCACTGGCATCGTACTCTATGGACCATGCACGCACACGGGCCAACCGCCCCGTCAGACAAAGTCATTGTTTACTTAAGTACTCCGTACCTAGGTAGTTAATCGATCGATGCCCGATCAATCCAATGAGTGATGTCGGGTTGAGCTCTGCATCGGCACGGCACGCCCAGGATTGCAGGATTGCATGTGTGCGGCGGCATTCTGCATCGGTGACGGCGTGGACGGGATTCCAAGTACGTACTTGGGTACCTAAAGTAGTTATACAACAAACATTGAAGGCTTTACTCGGTTGCATATCCCTTTGACTGCGCGCAGGTCCAATTGATGTGGGACTCACTTTCCTACGATACCTAGCAGTTACCTCTTTGGCAACGAGGTCAGCTACTAGACCTGACGTAGCTCTTTATAGACTCGAAAATCTCTGGTACTTTTATTATTATAGTATTTCTTAAAGAGGCTTTATACCTTTTAATATAATCTTTTTTATTGGCCAGAACCCTTGCCCGGTACGAAAAATGGACCTGCCCGCAGTCAAAGGGATTTTGTGTCAGTGCCCAGTGTTGCGTCCAAGTGCTTTGTACCAGGTACATGGCTACTCCAGCCCGTAGTATGTACCTACTCGAGCATCAGACATGTGCGAATGACGGGCAATTGGCTCAATGACTCTGCAAAGTCAATTCAAAGATTAACTAATCCATCCAAACACTTCCCGCCAGCTGCAACCCCCACCGTTGAAGACGACGGCGCCGGTCAGGAGCTAACGACGAGCCTAGCGACCACATGGTACCTCCATGTCACTCCATCGGTGGCTCCGTGCCGCAGCCCGAGGCAAGCCAGGGGACCGACCGACCCCCGTTGTCTGGCCTGGCCCGTCAACCGTCTGGTGTCTCATTGTCTCGTCCAATCTCAACCACCATCCCACCTCGCATCTGCAGTCTCGTCACTTTCTCAACGCCCTCCTCCGAGATCCCCTCGAACCGCCCCGACCCAACCCAACCCATCGTGGAGGCCTAGTCAGCAGAGAGCATTGCCCGAGTATGGATAGCCGGCAGTAAATTGGTTTCTCTTTTTTTTTCTTTTTTACGCATTCCTTTCCCTTCCCCCATCTCCTTGGGAAGACGCCCCTCATCCACCGCCACCACCTTTGCCTCCCGCCATTCAAACACCATCTTGTCCTCCTCGCGGCCAACATGTCCGCCCTGGTGGGCTACCTCGTCAACTTCCTGGTGGGCTACGTCGCCGTCACCCTCTTCTTCTACATGGCGTCCCTCGCCGTCCCCAAGGCCGGCTTCGTGGCCCGCGCCCTCGCCGCCTACATCTCGCTCCTCATCTGCGCCGTCTTCGGCGTCCTCGCCTCCGTCTTCTTCACCCTCATCGGCAAGCAGGGCATCTCGCAATGGGCAACCGCCCGCGCCTTCCACTACGTCATGCGCCTGACCACGGGCATCGTCTTCCAGGTCGAGGACCCGGACAAGATCCTCGCCACCACCCGGCCCGCCGTCTTCATCGGCAACCACCAGACCGAGCTCGACGTCCTCATGCTCGGCGCCATGTTCCCCAAGTGGTGCAGCATCACCGCCAAGTCGGACCTCAAGCACGTCCCCTTCCTCGGCTGGTTCATGCGCCTCAGCGGCTCCATCTTCATCGACCGCAAGAACTCCAAGGACGCCCGGGAGGCCATGGCCGGCGCCGCCAAGGAGATCCAGTCCCGGCAGCAGAGCGTCTACATGTTCCCCGAGGGCACGCGCAGCTACGCCAAGGACCCCGTGCTGCTGCCCTTCAAAAAGGGCGCCTTCCACCTCGCCGTGCAGGCGGGCGTGCCCATTGTGCCCGTCGTCGTCGCAAACTACAGCCACGTCCTCCACATCAAGAGCATGGTGTTCCGCGCCGGAACCGTCCCCATCAAGGGTACGCACTTTCATCTCGCCCCTACAGACAAAGAAGGAAGCACTTGTGTGCCCTTGCTGACAGACAGTCGTTTGCAGTTTTGAATCCGATTCCCACCAAGGGCCTCACCTCCGCCGATGTCGACGAACTCGCCCGCACCACGCGCGAGCTCATGCTCACCGAGCTCTTGGCCCTCACTGCAAAGGCCCAAGGCCGGCCCGTTGCCGTCCCTGCCTCCGTTGAGAATTCGTCGGCCGCGAGCTCCGCCGTGCACGTCAACTCCGAGTAATTCGAACCTGCGTGGCTTTCTCCTCCCCCCCGCATTCTATATCCCTCCTGCCCCAGCTGCAGCGTGTACATGGCTCATGCCAACCCACAGAACCCCCACCTAGCCTAGATGAACATATAGTCTATCAGGATGAGATGAGCGAAACCAAAAAAAAAAAAAAAAAAAAAAAAGATAAGATGGGATGTGTTGCTATTCTCTGAATAGACAGATACAGGAAAGGTCAAACGTGATTGATTGATACCCCTTCATAGATAGAATGTTTGTACTGCCTGTACAAACGAATTATATGCTTAACCACTGACCCCCCGACTCGTTCTCTTCATGACGACGCGCAAATTCTGCCAAAAGGCTCCCATCACATTTTGACCCGTCCGGACCATGTTTGCATCAAACACAACAACTTGCGGTATAAGAAAAAGGGAAAACGAAAAAAAATCTATACTTTGAACAATTATATTGTTGGCATGCCTGTAAACCACGAATCGTGCCACGACAAGAGGGCAGTTACTTAATTCATGTACATACATATATGTGAACCCCGACTCCCCGTGCCGTATACATAAAGATACAAAACACCGCCATGCCAAAAAGTCGCTATTCGTGAGCGCATCAGAAGCAATCACTCCCTCAAAGCCTGCAACGCCTGCGTAAGTGTAACAATCCGCAAACTTCTCCCCCTCTTCAAACCGACACTCGCATTCGTGACCGTCGGACTCCGTCCATCATCCCACTTTCTGAACACCCGCTTCAAATCCCTTGGTATCCCTTCCAACACGACCGTCGATACTGGCACAAACGGGCGGTCTTCCATGCCGGATGCTAAAATCGCGTATTCCTGTGCAAAGTCAAGAGCGTTGCGGAAGGATGCGTATTGGGCGTTTGCACGGGATCCAACAATGATGTACATCTCAAAGAAGGCGTCGAGGACGTAGATGCTTGTGGGAAGGAGGTCTACTTGGTTGAATGGAGACAGTTCGAAGATCTGGATCCACAGGTTAGCATTGAAATTCAGCATCTAGACTGAGCACTGCAAAGGAAAGACAAGATGTACCTGTTGGCGAGAGTCTGCATCCGAACAGAATAGTCGGCTGCAGTATTTGTCGTAATTGGGCTTGAGGCGCCAGTGATCGGCAGAATGAGGCTTCGAGCTGTTGTCCCCAAAGAGGTCCCAGAACGACGTAGGTTCGTTGCCGTCCTCATACTCGATCAATTCTCCCGTCAGGGTCAAATCCATGCCAATTAGTCTTGCACAGCTCACTTCCGCAACGTCGCCTCCCTTGCCCTTCCACATGTAGCAGTTTCCCCCTTTGGTGATGAGGTACGTGAACCCAGTGCATAAGCTGGATGGGGCAAAATCAACCTCGTCAAAAGCAACTTGTCCGAGATACCGTCTGCCGCACAGTATGTTGGGCGCTAGCGAGTCGTACTTGTTGCTCGAGCCGCGTCTTACAATAATCACACCACCAAGAGCTTGTACAAATTCGGCTGTTTCTTTGCCCTGCTGAAACCTAACAAGTTTGCCCCCGAGGGAGCGAGCTTCCCGTTGTACAAAGAGTTGGGCATCTTCGGCCGACAACTCGGGAACCTCGTCACCAACCCAGAAGTAAACCTCGAATACTTTCTTCCCGGATCCATTGATAAAGTTATGCGCGCAAACATACATCTCCTGCTCAAACAGGACTCGTTCGTTCTGGGGTGAGACTGGCAGCTTTTTCCCGTCTCCGAGGATTTGGAACATTTGAAGTCCAAGACTCGTGACCTTATCACCAGTGTCGGGACGGTTCATCAGAATTTGTGCCGGATCAACATTGATTGCTTCTCTTGTCTGTGGGGGGCCAAAGAATTCTGTCAGCAGGGCAGACACTTCATTGATCTGCTTGGTAGGTGAGCGGGTTGGAGATGAAATGGCGGCAGGCGACTTCAAACCATCGCCGGAAAGTCCGGACAGCGGTCTCACTCTTCTGCTCTGCCCACCACCTGGCGTTACTGGTTCATCGAAAGATGGCTTCGAAATTGGGATAGATCGAGCGCCGAAACGAGGGGAACGAGGGGAAGCCTCGCGCATTGACGGAAGTGAGTCCCGGTCACTCTTAGTCGGTGACGGTGGCTCAGCCAGTTTGGTTGGTGATTGAGATCCGGTGCGCTTATGGCGCAACCAAGTCGGTTCCGCAGCTGTATCTCTCTGGACGTCTTTGGAAGGGCTTTCGTCTAGGAATCGGGACATTTTCTTCGTGTCAAACTTCTTTGGTGACGTGGCACTGGAGGCATCCTCTTCAGGTTGCGGGCTTGGCTTTGCTGGTGACGAAGGAGTTGAGGCCCTTGGTCCGAGAGGCAGCGGCCGTCCACGAGATACTGGTCGAGCTGCTGGCTCCAGTGACTCTCTTGGCTCTGAGGTCTTGGCTACCAGGGTTACCGGGGGTAGTGATGGTGTATTACCAAGGGTCGTTTTTGTGTCCACTTCTTGCTGAATGGTTGGGGTTATCGGCTTCTCATCGAGTCCAGCTGGGCCGGTCGACACATGTTGTGTACCAAGTTTATTTATTGCTACTTCCTGCACCGTTGGCTCGTCCTCTTTGGCGGCCTCAACTATAGCAGGTGGCAGCTGCCGTGCAGTTTGGCTGAGGGTCGACGCCGCGGCGCCTGTCGGGGCCTTTCTCTTTGGACCACGAGCTCGGCCTTTGGTCATGTGTGTAAGTTGAGGTCCAGGAGCAGATGGCTCAGTAGCATCACCTGAACCTGGCTTGCCATTGTCGTCACCAGTCTCCTCAGAGCTTCTACCACCATTGGTGGCCATGGGAGGCGGCCCTCTAGCCAGCATACCTGCCAAGCCTGGGTTAAATCGATCCGCCAACTTGCCGCCGACAACTCGACTCTGAGCCGCCAACTTGGAAGGTGCATTCATTTCCTTTTGCAGCGTGGGCGTTGCTTGTGGTTCAACCGTAGTCTTTGCCGCCTCAGGTTCTGTGGACACCCGTCTCAACTTCTCGGTACTTGGGCTCCTTGCAGGGGGTATTGCTGTATTAGGCGATCTTGGGGAGAATGCCGATCCGCTCGGGACTCTCTTTGGAGCGGGGGCAGGCTTTGGTGAATCCTCCTTTTTGGTGGGAGTAGGAGTTGGTGTTTCTGGAACGTTGCTCTTCTTGGCCATCGCTGCCACAGATTTGCTCAGCTCTACCCTCTTGGCCAACCCCTCGGGCAGTGGCCTTTCAGAAGCAGTGCTTGATGCTCTCGTGACCCCTCGGCCCTCAGACTGAACAGCCTTAAAGTCGGCCCTCTTCTTCAAGATTGCGTCTTTAAACTCGTCTTTCCTCTCGCTCTTCTTCGGGCCATCGGTTACGTTAAGAGCCGATTTCCCGCGAAGAATATTGTTTTTCAATTCATCAGGAGCAACGTAGTTTTGGGTTTTGGTTTTGCGCAGATTGCCAAAGACATTCTTGAATTCCGGTTCACCAGACTTGGGTGTGTCTTTTTCTGCAGGACGTTGCCTCAAATTTGACCTGAAGTCCATCGTTGGCGGGGTTTGCGGCTTGGGTTTGAGAGGCGGCGGGCTCATGACGGGCGTGTGTTTTGTAGCACTTGGGGAGCTGGTTTCCTTGTCTGTCGGCTTCGTATCCTCCTTATCAGTCATCTCATCTGGCCTTGGTAAATCCGGGTCAGATTGTTGTGCGGTGCTGGGTTTTGACCCTTGCCCATATGCAGGTCGATTTGCATTTGGCGGCGGTGAGTAAATGCCTCCCAAACCAGTAGGGTTGGATTTAGCTACATTTCCGACAGCCGATTGCCTCATGAGACCTCCAATACTAACCTGGTGCTTGTGTGAGACAGATTTTGGTCGACTTGATTCTGCATTGGCATTATTCCTCCAAGTGGGTTGGGCAGTCGTCGGGGATGGCTTTGGTGACTCTGGTCGGTTCAACGCATTTTCAAGCCAACTTGACTTGGTGGGACTCCAGCGCCTAGGATCCATGGTTTTTGATGGACTGGATGGAATGCCGGCATCCTCATCCTTTTCCTCAGCACGGCCTGTGTCTATTGACATCAGGCTTGACGATTTGGAGATATCGCCAAGGTCAGATGGCCTGTCGCCGTGTTGCGAGGTTGGTCTGCTCGAGGTCGGTGTCGCAGAGTCTCTTCGTACGGTGCTCTGAGGCCTGGAGCCCATGTGAACTGACGATCTAGCTCCCCGCGTGGCAGCAACAGAGTCCGCTCGTGTCAAGCCTGGAGGGCTCGTGACACTCCATCGCTTCACACTATCGCTACGCTTCATCATTGCACTCTGGACAAAACCACCAAGGCCCTTGGTAGGTGACGGCGACCGGGTGGGCGATGCCCGTCCAGATAATGACGCAGGCTCCTGAGTTGGCTGTTTCTCAGCAGATGCAGTATCGAACCGCGGGGGGTTGAATGTGACCGGCGAGGCAAGTCCTGGGTGACTTGGCGGTTCTGGACTAGGCTGCGGCGAGGGAGAGCTTCTTGAACTTGAAACCGGATTTGTAAGAGACATGCCCGGCAGCTGTGCCCTAACCGAGGACATATCTAATCGGTCCTCGTCCTCAACCTGACTACGCCTGTATGCAGCAGAGTTCTGGCCGCGATCCGCCGTTTGTCGGAACCATGAAGGATCCTTGGAGCCCAAAGCTTTGGCAATCTGATCCTTGGAGACGGTTTCTTCGGTGGCAGATGCTGGCTCCTGCGACCCGGCCAGAGACCTCTGGGTCGCATTTTGGGCCGCCACCATGCTCAAGGGCCGGGCACCACCCCGCGATGCGGGCCGTCTTTGCCACGACAGCGTAGAAGTTCTCGCAGGCGGCGTTGAGCTCTCAGTCGGCTGCGTGTCCAGCTCGGCCGAGGCATCACTGTCCTTGGCAGGCAGGCCCGGAGATGTCATTGAGTCGTGTCCGGCGGGCGGGGAGGCGGGGGGTTCGCGGTCGTCGAGTGTCCTACTGGGCGAGCCGAGCCTGGTAGCATCGGAAACCTGGGCACTTTGGTGACTGGAGCGCGGTGACGGTGTATTCATGGGGGACGATTTCTGAGGGGAGATGGACCGGGCACGTTCTGCGGGGGGGTAGATAGTCCAATGTTAGTTTCAAGTAGTTCCTAGTCGTGTTTCGGCCTGACCATGCGCGAACCAAGCCAGCAGCCAATTCACCTGCCAGCTGGCCAAGGGAAAGTCAACAGCTGCACCAGCCGGCAGCTATTTGGCCAGGGGCTTCGCTGGCATCCCCAAGTCTCGTGCTCCTAATTTTTTTGAACCTTTGACCATTTGAAAGTGGCAGACTCACCTTCTCGTCGTGCCTGACGTTCCCGCTTGGCGGCCAAAAACTCCTCCCGTTCACGAGCTCGAGCCTCGTCGTCCTCAATCTGCTGGCCGCGCAGACGCTCGACCTGCTCGAGGAACTGAGAGACTTCGTCGGACATGTCCCCTTCGTTTCCCGCCGTCGTAGCGCGACGGTGGCTGGTGTTGTCAATGTCGGGTTATGGTGATGACGTCTTAGGCCATGACACTCGAGGACGACTCGGAATGGGGATGCAGATACTTGCAGCAATGGCCCCTCTGCCAAATGAAGCTACTCTGCCTCCTGGCCGTAAGAAAATAAAGATGGTTGGGGTCCCTGGAGGGAAGAAGTCCAGTGTTGACTTTGTGATGGAAGTCTAAGGGAGGGGTGCAAGACAGTCGCGGTTGGCGGATGAGCCTAATGGAGCCGGCCTCGCACGTCAATTCCACGGACGGACCCTCAGTCTATGCTGACTGGTGAGCCCGCATCGCCCGTCAATAAAAAAGTCTAGCCAGGCGGGAAGGGTTCTGAAGTGTTGTCACATTGAACCGGACAGTCTGGTGCTAGTCTGGTGCCATGTGCCGTCTCCACCCGCTTAGCTGGTCCGCCTGCTCCAGAACCCGTCAATACAATAATAACAGTGCAGGCAACAATAAATGTGGTCTGGTGTGAGCATTGAATGGACTTGATGTGTTCAATGCTCAGCTCCGTGCTTTCTACGGAGTACTCCGGAGCATTGGAACTTGGAGGGCATGTCGAGCCATGGCCACCACCGTGAGAAAATGCCCACTGTCCCAAGCCAAATTCTACATGTTTTACTCCGTACTCCGTAAATCAATTCACTTTCGCTAGACGGCCTGCTTTCACGGCCTTGAATGCAAGGGGCCCTGCAGCCGGCCGGTTTTCAGGCCTGGGTGGAATGCAACTGCCGCAGACTGCAACATCTCCTCACCCAGTCATCTGATGCAATGGCACATCCTCAGCCTTATGGTGTTTTTGAAAGACTGGGAAAAGAAGGGGAAAACAAAAAAAATCTCATAAACATCATGGCCATGATCTAGACCACCCACAAACACAGTTGTGAGATAGTGGCGTTGTTTGTTTACTTTCGCCCCAGCGCCACGCGAGACGTTCGCGTTGACTGCGCAACACTCCGGCCCGTTGCATCCACCCAGATGGAGCCTACATCATCATCCATCCGTGGGAACTTCAAAAACCGGCTTCCTAGATCATCATTCGTCATTGTATTCCGCAAGAGGCCCCCGGCCGGGACCGTTTCGGCTCGGATACCCAGATCTCGTTGGTCAACCGGGTTCGCATCTTGGATCACGCCGCAGACCGCAGCTGAAAAGTCTCCAGCATGTTCCTGAAGCTTATGCATTATCCTTTCCTCGGTGCTGCCTTGACGAGCTTCAGCGACGACGACTATTATGCCGTGCCCAACACGAGACCATGTATTGTTCTTTCCCACTCAACTAATAGAGAAACAATCTCTTCTTCGCATCAGCAACCACCCAAGCCAGGCCCTCCTGCAGATTCTCCCCTGTCATAGCACTGCATCGTAATATGTTCCACTGATGTGTCCGAATCTCGTCCAACCGTAGTGCCTGCATACAAATCAGCCCGGTATCCCCGGCCTCCCCCTCATCTTCACCGTCGCCGCGGAAAGACTTACCTTTCCAATTTCTTGTTCGTCCATACACCCCTCCACATCCGTCTTATTCGCCAAAATAAGCAAACTAGCCCCGGACAGCCGCTGTCTTGTCGTCAGCAGAAATGACTCCGTCCCGTGCCATCGTATGCGGCTCACCTCTTCTAGCAATAGCCCATGTAACTCGTCTCTGCAATCATCTATTCGTAGGCGATCAGTCGCATCAACAACCCATATCAGTGCATCCGTCTTCTCGAAATAATTGCGCCAGTATGACCGAAGAGTTTTTTGACCGCCAACGTCCCCTGCGCCATTAGTACAGGTATTCACGGGGTCACACCGTTTGGCTTACATATATTTAATTTATACCTAGCAAGTAGATTGTTAACAAACATGTCCATACACGGACACTGCGTCAGGGGCGCTCACCCATCGTAGTCAATCGTCTTGATAATAAAGCCTAATGTCGGGCTAACTGTGTTGACGTCTTCCCCCATAATTTTCTTCACGATCGTTGTTTTTCCGGCATTGTCCAAGCCCCTGTGGTAGCCCGTTAATCCGAAATTCCATCGGTAATCGCCAACTATGCTTCGATGGGAGGAGCCACGCACAGCATCAATATTCTCATCTCCTTGTCTTTGAGCCGGGCTTTTCGGAGGATAGACAGCATATTGGGAGGCGGGATCTTCGCCAAGTACGGCCGCCACTATTAATATTGTCTTTCTTCAAATACTGCAAAAATTTCCGCAGTCTCAGGATTGTGCACTGTCCCAGTGATTCGGGAGTGGTGTTGAATAATGGTGAAGTTTGGATCAAATAGATACCCTCAATGTACGCCCACACGTGATGCATCATGGATCCCGACCACTTAACTGGCGGCGCCTTGGTGCCACTCAACCACTGCAACACCGTTGACCCCTTACCGCGAGTTCCAACTGCAGTTTTTCCAACCGGACACGCTTCACCATAAGCCATCAGCGCTTAGAAATCAATTGTCATTGTCCTATTTCATAAACGTCCAAGTTAGACTCTAACTACAGTCTTTGGACGTTTGTTTCTACTTCTTTTAGCTCTTGACATCTTTAGGTAGTAAATCCTTTATTCCTTATTCATCCATTTTTGATTCATTATCATCCACCTACAGCCAACAACGACCGCCTCCGAACATATCGCATTTCGACTTGCGTGTTTCAGTATCAACGTTCTACATGATTAGCAAGTTCTCTCAACCTAAAAGTAAACGCGTGCGCCCTGGATGTCTACCCATGTAGGCAAGACACTGGGTGCATGTGGAGTGGAAACAGGTTTCTCGACTCGTATTTGCTCGTCATTTCTGTGAATGTTCTTTTCAATTGTTACCTGCTGCTGATCCAGACAACTGGGGTCTAGCGACAATTTTTGAAGTGGGCGTGTTATCGGTTTGCCATACCACCATGTTCAGCCAGTGGTTATGGTGTTGGTCGTCAAATCGAACGGCCGCGTTCTTGAAGTATCCAATTTCTTGGAAGCCAAACTTTCCGAGAAACTCAGCCCCCGGTTGATAAGCTGCCGAATCCTCTTGCGAAAAAAAGTGCTCAAAGTACAGTTGGGTGTACTGGCGTCTGTTGCGCGTCACGGGAAATTGGTAAACATCTTTGGGGTCGTCGCATTCCCATACGTAATCCAGTGTACTCCTGCGAAAAGGGGAAATTGAGAGCAAAAGCCGATCCATGAGTGCAGATCCGTACAGTTTGCGTTGGTGATCAGGGTGTACTGCTAGCCTTACTTGCCCAGTATAGCGCGATGAAAGACACGGAGCTCCATACAAGTTCATCCGATAGTCGGAGACAAATGCAAAGCCAGCAACTGGAGCGGCCGGTTTTGGCTTTGCAGCCATGTACTTTGCAAATTCCTGGTAAACTTCGTCGGAGTCTCTTGGCCACTTGCTCTGGTCTAGGAAGTCATCTTGGGCAGGTATGGCAACGATGAATGGTCTACTCTCAGCGACGCAAGCATCGAATATCTTGCAGACATCATCAACCATTGCCAGTTTGTCTTGGAAGATTTGGGCATTGCATGTATTTGCTGCTTCAGCATTGATGATTTTTGCAATTTGGGCAAAGTCTTGTGGTGCAGCTGGTCGGATAACACACTTTGCTTTTGGCCAATGCTCTTCCTCAGTTCCGACTATCGGTTCTGGCTTGTGATCGAGCTGCTCCAAAGTCATGCGCAATGTCCTTGCAGTATTTTCTCGGCTCTTGATCTCCTGACTTATGTAAAGATTCGATGTCATGTTCACTTGTCGCCAGCCGATATCATTATAACCTTCGCAGGGACCGTCCACCATGTCTCGAACAGTTTCTGGTTGTGGAATGGGAGCAAGAAACTCTCCATTCTCCGTGTCAATAACGCATTGGACAAAGGATTCGTTACAAAGATTTTCGTAAGGAACGGTTACAGAAGGCAATCCCCGGAATTTGGTGAGCCAGGCTCCTATCAGACAATTGGAGCCTTCCGCTGTTGAATCATACAGAATGATACCGTTGTATTCATGCGCAATCTTTTCCTGGGCATTGGGTACAGAAGAAAGATGCACGATATGGCTGTCGGCTTCTTGATCGACAACGGAGCTGAGCGAGGACGAACCCTCTTCATGCCCCCCTTCTGTAGGAGAAACGTTGCTAACGCTCCAACTAAGCCTTCTCTTCACATCTTCTCCAGGCTCAACAGCTGTGGCAGCCTGAATGATGTGTAATGGTGCAGGAAGTGGAGTGTCTGAAAGCAAAGTAGAGGCATGAGGGGTTGATTTCGATGACCCAATGGATTTGATCTTTTCATGCTGCTCTCCAACTGGTGTGCCACAATCATCCTGAGCTGTTAGGCCTCTGGTACCAAGCTGGCTCATCGCTTTCTCAGTTTCAGCTGGTAGATTTGAAGGGCCATTTGACAGGATAGTAGCTGCTTCAAGTTTACGCATATCTGCGCTTGTAACGCTCTCAGACTCTGCATTTGCGTCAGAGGCCGCTTTGGGCAAGACCAGGATTGACGAGCTAGCTTTGCTGGAGACAGCGGTGGCCGGTTTCGACGACTTTATTTTCGTGTCTTCATCAGCGGATTCGACACACTTCACGGCCGGCGAACCGGAAAGCCAGGTTTTCATTTCCTCGCATATCTTTGAAAGGCTATCGTCTTCTTGTCCACGTGTTTTTTCTGGCGAAATCGCCGCTGGTGGAACTTCCATGGTAACCTCGATGACAGACAGCTTGCCTGCCTAGGTACTTAGTTAGTTGAAACACTCCTTTCCAAACAATGGACCAGACAGCTCACAAGGTAAAGTACGAGCGGACGATTCGTTCTCGATGAAGGAGGCGCCTGATTTCTAATGCTGATGCTCGAACTAACGCCAAAGGCTTATAGACAGTGGAAGAGTTGTATTTGAATGATCAAGAGCAAGGCAGTCCAGGAAAATATTGTAACGAGAGGAGGGGAAACAGAAAGATCTATAGGAACAGACAATTCCTCAGAAACTAGGCACCTGGTTACATTAGCGAGTGTGTGGCAGCTGCCAAAGCAACAGCTGACAGTTATAAACGCTTGGCAGCTGGCAAGAACTATTACCACCAGACCTTGTATTTACCGGACCCTTTGACCTGGAAATGCTTCTTATTAGTCGCACTGAATGATTAGCTGTTTAGAAAAGCAAGAAGAATAACATTAAATGCGTTTTGAAATATTTAAAATAACTGGGAAAGATTATCGGCTATATTTTAATGCACCTGCACCACAGCCAGACCATTGCTCCTCATATTTCAGTCGCCCTCGAGACTCAAGGAAAGGTTTTATCCCTTATGGGTTGTTAAAAGAACTGGTATCGACCAAAACTTATTTTCTACATCTCAGGGGAACAAAATCTTGAATGCAGTCAGACGTGTTAAGTGGCTCGACCTCCACCAGGCCTTGTGAAGACAGCCAGTAAAAGCACCAAATAGAACTAGTCATTGTTCTCGTTCTGGGCATCTCATTTTATAGTCAAACAATCCCACGGAAATGCAGCTTCTGGCAACACGTGCGATTCATACGAGGCGACCGTAATTTATTACAGCTTTATAATTTAGAATAAGAACGTTGTTTCATATCGGCCGCGTGGCCTAATGGCTAAGGCGCTAGATTTCGGTTAAAGCGAGTCACCGAGCTCTCTAGAGATTCCAGGTTCGACTCCTGGCGTGGTCGGAGTGGTTTATCCCCATTTCTTTTTTTGATCTTTTTTTTTTTTAAAAAAATCTTTTTATTTATTCACGTTACAGTTTCTCTCTCCGCGTATTTCTCAAATAAATGTTGTTTCCCTTGTCCGGCAAACAAACAGCCGGCTTCTGAATCACTGTTGTTTCAGCTCGCTGCTCGCATGACAAAAGAAAATTCCCAGTGAATACCAACAATAGAGACTAGAACCATGGAACAAAATCTTTCTTTATGTCCGGCAGGGCAGTAGCAATCAATCGCATAAGCGAGCTCTCAAATATCTTTGTGCATAAGGACTTTGTAGCTCTAAGTGAGTACGACTTCGCTTCGGCAACGTCTCCATTTTTCCACCGGGGCAAAGCCGAGTGCTTGTGATGCTTGCTTGATAGACAAAGTTTTGTTATGTTGATGATGTGAGTAGCTCGGTGCCGTCAAACTTGCTTCGAACCTCTGCTATGAATATCGTTTAGATCCATCCGAAGAAAGACATCTGGCACGTCGTGATAATACTTTTGAGAAAAGTACGAGGCATAAGATTCCTGAAAGACCAAGACACGGCTCGGCTCATGATGTATCGCCAAAAAATGCGGCTTGTGCTACAACGTCCCGAATAATGTTGTCTGAGATTTTGTGCTACGACAATACTTGATATTGCTTCAGTTGAGCCGACATCGAGCAATAGGCCCCTCTAGATTCACCTTGCCCACGACCAATCCTTTCTTCCGTAGCACGATATTTATTTCGGTAATGTGTCCATGGTCGCACTTGGCGAGATCCTGCAAGCGATCACCCGAGATCAGACACACGCAACTCGGCAATTACTGTCGATCAGTTGAACGCTTCCGTAACATTTGGTACTACAAGATAATAGACAGGTACATAGATATCGATGTTTAAAACCAGTTGAGTTCCTAGCCATTTGACTTGCCCTCAATTCAAGCCATCTTCCCTTGACAATCGATCCCAAAAGAAGAGAGAGAAAAGTCAAATGATTATTCATAAAATGCATCGACGCTTGCTTTCAACTGGTTATCTTGTCGTCTCGGCATTTCAGGTTATCCTGGCCCAGGATTCCAATCTAGAATCCCTACTGCCGCGGCACAAATCGCCCTTACTGGGAGATATTCGCAAGTCGCTTCGAACAGCTTGCGACGTAACAGAATTCCCTGCAAGCATTGAGGTATGGTACATCACAATGCATCGACTTAGTACCTGGCTAACACTTCGTGAGAAACTGTGTGATGAGTATTGTGAGAGCGAGATCGCCGCGAGTGATCTCAAAGGTCGCCTTTGCAAAAACTTCAGAAAGGTATACGCAAGGCAGTTATACTTCCACCAAATAACCACATCACTCACACGCTCCAGTATATCGAAAGCCTTGGAAAATGCGCCAAAGATACCCGAAGCACGGTCAACAAGCAGTGCAAGGACAAGTGCAGGTGTTCCAAAGACGACGATTGCGATATAAATGACGTCTGCAAAGACCATGCATGCAATCCAAAGGTCTGTCACAATCATCGTGAGTGTAACGGTCAAATTTGCGAATACAACAAGTGTACACCTTGCAAATCAAACAGAAACTGTGATTTTCGACCACATCTTCAGTGTACCGACGGCAAATGTCTTGCACACGTCGCTCTACCGCCAAAATGTACCAAGAATTCGGATTGCAGGTCGGGCCTAGTTTGCAGAGACGGCGACTGTCGGCAATGCCGTGCTGATTCAGAATGCCACAAGGACATGATCTGCAGCAACGACCACTGCATGCCAAAACCGCCTACTTGCGGACAACCCGGCTTTGACTGGGCAGAGTGGCGCGGTCCTTTATCCTGGAACAGCGTCAAATCACCCCCTTTTACAGAGTATGACCCGACCGTATTCAAATCTCAAAGGCCAGAGCACGGCGGTCGGACAAACACGCTGCTCATTGACAACCCAGAGGATCTCTACGGGCAGGCCATAGACATCAACCTTGCTTCTGTGATACATCAGGGATTTCTCCTCGCCCCAGAGACAGGCAACTACACATTCCTCTTTGGGCAAGCAGATGATATTGTTCTGGTCTGGCTAGGCGAAAACGCTTTCCGTGGTTGGACTCGTGCAAACGCAGATATTGAGAGGACCTATATTCCGCCTCCCGGTGACGAGACACGTACGACAAGGCACCTGGAGCAGGGAACGTATTACCCCATTAGAGTTGCATGGGGTGACAAGGGCGGAAACACAGCCATGTCGGTCAGGATCATGGCCCCAAATGGCACAGAATTGACTGGCCAGAACGGTGGCTACTTTAGAACCGAAGCGTGTGATGGTTCATACGACAAGTTTCCTCCATATGGCCGGTCGTAGTTGGTGACGAGAGGTCAAAGTGCGTGATGTTGGTGATGACACTGATGAGTGATAATTAATTGAATTGGTGGTGGTTTTCGCTTGCAGAATGTTTTGAGCTGCTCGTTAGTGCCTGGCTATACACAAGACTGTCAATATACGCGTTCGAAATATAATTGGATGACGAAAGCTGGCCCATTTCGAGTAAACGGTTCGAGTAGGGGTGCAGGAGAACGGAGGTTCAATGTTGAGGAAAGATCATTGACGATTGCTGCCCCTCCTGAGTCCTGACCTTGCACATGGCCTTTGGGCGGGCACCGCACATGATTTTAGCGCTCAAGGTGCGAGGTGGGCTGCATGTGCGCAACTTTTCTGGACCGTTGGGACTCCGTACTCCCAAACGTAACTCAATCCTAGACCATACTCTTGTACACAATTCCTTCTTGAGCCCTTGATTCCTCTCGTACCAGCCCCCCTTCAGCATTTTCCTCCACACTAATTCAAAATGGCTCGCAAGTTCTTTGTCGGCGGCAACTTCAAGATGTGAGTCCGTGTCAAACAGCCGATGCGGCATTGCCCCTCCATGCCCCGCGTCTACATGCGTTGGGAGCTCGCAAAACACCGCAGGTCAACTATGGGATAATTCGGCCGCTGGAACAGAACAGCAAGAAGCGATTGCTGACAGTCATGTGCCAGGAACGGGACTGTCTCGTCCATCAAGGAGATTGTCAAGAACCTGAACGAGGCCACTCTCGATGCTGAAGTCGGTACGTCATCCGGGCAAGCCATCCACCCCCGAAACAACGGAGCATTTCATGCTAACTAGCAAACAGAGGTCGTTGTTTCTCCTCCTGCCCTATATCTCCAGCTCGTCCGTGACAGCATCCGCTCTGGCATCGAGGTTGCCGCTCAAAACGTCTTCGACAAGCCCTGCGGTGCCTTCACCGGCGAAATATCTGTCTCCCAGCTCAAGGACAGCAAGATCAACTGGGTCATCCTGGGCCATTCTGAACGCCGCACCATTCTCAAGGAGTCTGACGAGGTGGTCGCTTCCAAGACCAAGTACGCCACCGAGAACGGCGTCGGCGTCATCTGGTGCTGCGGTGAGAGCCTCGAGGAGCGTGAGGCTGGCAAGACCATTGAGGTTGTGAGCAAGCAGCTCGAGGCTCTCAAGGCTCAGATCAACGACTGGTCCAAGATTGTCATTGCCTACGAGCCTATTTGGGCTATTGGCACTGGCAAGGTTGCTACCACTGAGCAGGCTCAGGCAGTGCACAAGGCCATTCGTGACTGGCTCAAGAATGTCAGTGACAAGGTGGCTGAGGAGACTCGCATTCTCTATGGCGGCAGCGTCAATGAGAAGAACTGCGCTGAGCTGGGCAAGCAGCCTGATATTGATGGTTTCTTGGTTGGTGGTGCTTCACTCAAACCTGCCTGTACGTTTTGGCACCCTGTCTTGATCTTTCACTTTGATATTATTCTAACCCGTCTCATAGTCATCGACATTATCAACTGCAAGAGGCAGTGAAGCGTGCGCAAAGCAACAAAACTCTAGCCGAGGGTCTCGCAGCGCCCCTCACAAAATTATAGTCTGAATAAGGCACTTTGTAGACGTTCCTACATTTCGTTTCTTGATGATACAGTGATGACGGTGAATGTAGACTTTACAGACGTATCGTAGTTTTTTGTCAATTTTCCTTCTCGTGATCAAACTTGACCAACCGTTCAAAGTCCAAAGTATCCAAGCCGCTCGATGCTGAAATCACGATGTTTGCCCATCTTTAATACAAGTAATAAATACATAGAAAGTTTCCTTTCCAGTTGCCTTTCTTTCTTGAATCCTCTAAAGCTCATGAAGTCTCATACAACCATTCCCTTTCCGTGGTATGGTGACCAAATTCCTCTGACACTGGGGTTGGTACTTGTGACAGCCTTGTTCGTTCTCTTCAGCTTCTCGCCGCTTGCATCTCGTAGCAGCTCTACTTTCTGTAGAATCTCGTACGGCGATAGGTTTCGTACGCAAATAGGTTTTGTGCGTCCGTTGATGTAGTGTCCGATGATGACGGGGTGTTTACCGGGTCGGGGGGAGACGGCGAATTCGACTTGGGGGTTTGCAGCTGCGAATTTAGGGAGGAGGGACTTAATGAAACCGCTGCACAGATCTCGTAAGCACGTTTGATTCACTCTATGATCGAATCCATCGGAGAAACCTACTTCATGCCCTTTGAGCTTCCAGCCCAATCGCAATAATGAAAGTCCATCTTCTTGCATTGAAGAATGAATGACCCGACGCCATTCTGCTATCCGTCAGAATCAATTGAAAAGGCAATTAGATTCGAGGCAAAGCGTATTTGTCATACCTTGCCGCTCGCAACGGCGCGCAATGCCTTTACTGTCATCTTGCTGTGGCCACAGGCAATATCCTCATGGTCCGTTTGGCGTGCCAAAGGGAAGGTACTCGAGACTCACTCAAAAATTCAATGCTCACGCTGGGGGTCGCCAAAGTGGGCTTAGCGTGGTCCGGGCCAGCACCGGCAAAACTCTGCGAGGCATCCTCTCCCCAGACGGGGCCTCACAATTTCCAAGAGCTTTCGCATCGCATTCATAGCAGCCACTTGTGGTCATCAGATTTTGCAACGCTCCCGGCAGCAATTACCCCCAACTACGGGCTGGGTGACCGTCGCATTTCGGCTGTCAATTGTGCTTTTGGATTTTTACGCGAGTTGTACCGCCTGAGCCCGGCATCATGACTGACAAGCTTCCGCCGAATCTGTTGGCTCTGTTCGCGCCACGTCCACCTTTGCGATGGGTAGAGCCGCCAGATTATGCCCCTGAAAAGCGCAAGACCGCGCCCATTCATGGCGTTGCTGCGTTATTGCCTCAGCTTCAGGAGTACAAGGAGACGGATGTGTACAACCCCACGGAGAGTTGGCTCGAGGCGAAGGACAGAAAGAAGCACGAGAAGAAGGAAGCTGTCGAGAAGCTACTCACCGAAGGGCCGAAGAACTGTTCGTCATTCGTGTCATGTTCCTTGCATTGATAATACTCGGTGCTAACATTGAAAGCAGACGCCCCAAACGAAGACCCGAATATTCGAGGCGATGCATTCAAGACTCTGATCGTTGCGCGGCTCAGCTACGACGCCGACGAACGAGACTTGGAGAGGGAGTTTGGCCGGTTCGGTCCAATTGAGCGCGTTCGTCAGCCACAATCTGTTGCAAAACACAAAGAGGATGCTAATTGAAACGTAGATCCGCATCATCACTGATACCCACGCGCATGAAAAGCCCAACAAGAAGAAAAAGGCTCACCGTGGATATGCTTTCGTAGTGTTTGAAAGAGAAAAGGACATGAGAGGTAACTATTTCCCGTGTATACCCCGTTGATGGCCTTTCCAAAAAAAAACACGACCTTCCCTGGATGTATATCTTGGAGATGCGGCCCTCAAGCTTGCCTACTCTCTGTGAAGACACATCGAGACACACACAAAATGGCCCTCAAGCTTGCCTGGTCTCAGTCCCTTCTCCTCCTGTTCTCTTTCGTCCCTCAGACCTGGTTGCAACAATCGGTGTTTATTCTGGTAAGAGTTGCTAACACCTGCGCCTTGGTGGCGCATGTACAATGTAGCTGCCCTGGACTCCTGTGATGGCATTCGCATCAAAGACAGACGCATTAAAGTAGATGTCGAAAGAGGCCGAACCGTCAAGGGATGGAAGCCCCGTAGATTAGGCGGCGGCCTCGGTGGACGTGGTTACACCAAGTCGACCCCTGCTCGTCCTGGAGGTGGCCCTGCCGGCGGCTTCGGCGGTGGTTTTCGTGGGGGCTTTAAAGGATTCGAAGGAGGACGCGGCCGAGGCGGCTTCCGTGGCGGGTTCGGTGGCCGTGGTGGAGGATTCAGAGGCGATGGGCCTCGTGGAGATAGGAATGGCTTCGGTGCGCCAAGCGGAGCTCCTTCCGGCCCCGGAGGCGATCGCAGAAATGGTGACCGTGGCTTTGGCGGCGGGCATGATTCCAGGGGTGGACGATCTTTTGACGATAGACCTGGCGGTGGTTACCGTGATGGCGGCCGTCGCACTGGCGGCAATATGGAACCAATTGGGCGCAGAGAGGGTGGGTTTCGGGACAGAGATAGAGACCGTGACCGTGATCGTGATCGGGGCGACCGCGACCGCGACCGCGACAGGGACAGGGACAGGGACCGAGGAGGTCGGGACTACGACAGGCCGCCGCGCGACGATGATAATCGGAAACGAGGATACGACGGAGGTGGTTACGAAGATCCGCGAAAACTGCGACGCTATTAAGCATCCCCTCCTCCATATGGTGGGTATCACTCGAAGTTCTTGAGGTATGCGACGGTCTGTGCCATGACCTGTACTCCCATAACTCTTCTAGCAGTCGTGAGACGCATTCTTTGCAAGCGCAGGAACCACACCCCGTGTATGTTGCCGAAGCCGACATGCCCAACTCCAGAGGAAGCACAAGGTAATGGAATATTGATGGAAAGGTAAACTTCTTACTTTGTATTTCTGTTTGTACTGGTAGGTTAGAAACAAAAATTAGCGTGTAGCATGGAGAGGCTACTGGTATTATTGCTATCATTACAACTAGGTAAGGTCAGAGGTAAGGCGCATCTGACTACTGACCGAAATTTGGTGAAGGGGACTTTTTTCTTTTCGCATCAAACCGTCTCTGGCGCAGGTCTTGCGAGGACATACTTGCCTACTGACTTGTCGCACAAAAAAAGAAGCCAAGCTCTTGTACAGGGAGAGAAAAAGGTGCGCTTGTGAGGATAGTTGTCATGTAGTACTGTTTTTATTGGGAGTCACCAGGGTCTCTAAATGCATATGAACCCCATCTTAACCAAGCAAAAAACCCATTAAACGCCAGGTCCGTTGAATAATCCACCCGGTATCAGTCGTGACTGCAGACTTTCAAATGTCAATGATCTTCATCTCAAAGTACCTCGTCCGTAGTTTCTTTTTCTGTTCCCTCGTCGTCGTTAATTTTCGCCCACACCCTCCATGGCTGACGGATCAACTTCCGTGACCTCTCCGCTCGCCGAGCTCCAGTACCTAGGTGGAGGAAGAAGAAAAGTCAGCAACAGTGTTATCATTCCATTTACAGCTACAACGGTACCGGTGGGGACGTACGCCAGAATCTTGACCTTGAACTCGGAGACGCACACCCCAAACAACTTCAGGAGCCTCGTTTGTCTCGAGTCCAGCACATCCCCCTCTTTGCAGACCACGTAGCCCTCGCCTTGGCCGCTCTCATCGCCCAGCACCACTCTGCCCTTGACCATGCGCGTCGGCACGTTGAGCTTGCGCAGCTCCGGCTCGATGGTGTGCTCGAGGGGCACGTCGTGCTCGACGGGGACTTCTCCCGCCGTGGCGTACACGACGCCTGCGGGGATGGTGAAGTCTCGCGGAGAGGCGACGCCCGCGCGGGCAAAGTCCACGGGTGCGAAGTTGTTGAAGTACTCGAGGATGGACTCGGTGGGGCGGTTGGTCAGGAGCAGGCCGACGGTGCCGCTGAGGTACTGGGTTAGGTCTTCGATGCCGGGGGCGATGGCTTCAGAGGGAGACTGGCCAAGGGCCTTGGCCATGAGTTTGGTCTTGCCGAAGAAGAGTCTGGCGTGTGTCAGCGGGAGGAACTGGTGAATTTGGAAGAGGGGGGCGGCAAATTACCTGCTGTCGTTCAACTCGTGGCGCACGTTTTTCAGGTAGCTATTGCGCATGTTGTCGACGCTGAATACGAAGCAGTGCTGGTACTCGGGCACGGCATCGCGGATGTTCTGGAACAGTTTGTCCTTTTGCTCGCGGGTCTTCTTGGTGACTTGGGTCAGGTGGAAGACTTTGGCTCGTTTTGACTTGGGCATGGTGGCGATTTGTGTGCCGATATGTGATTAGGAATTTGTGGGTGTGTCCTACCGTCCTCAATCCGGGCCTTTCTGGGTAAGGAAATTGGCGAGTTTGACGACGCGGAGGCGCTGTCGCTGTGTCGTGCGAGGCGGTGGATGGTGGGCGGTTAAAAAAAAAAGTTGCGATATCATAGCTGCTGATAAGATTGTAAAATTTCGAGGGTCAAAGTGCTGCGGTACGGAAATACTGGCGTGTGAGTGGTCGGTTTTGGGGGTATGGGCGGGAGTGAGTGCCCCTGTGGGAGCCAGACAGCAGGACGCCTGAACACCCCGCAAGCGAGACTCGGGACTCGGGACAGGGAGGTCCCAGTACTGCACCTTCAACTAGGAGCCCCAGTGCCATTATCCGCATGGCGAGGTTCTCATGCTCGCCATTTATTGTCACGGAGCGTGAGCCGCCAGTTTCCATGGCCATTGACTCTTCTGCTTCACTATTTGAAACCTTCGTACGTTGCATTTGAAACAGAGCTCCTTCGTTTGACTGGACAGCTTCAACAAGCAAGTCACCGGCATGGCAAAATCCTGCATCAAGGGATCCCACATTAGGATTCCGGGCACGGGGTAAGAAATTACCTGGATAGAATCGGTATTTGGGAAAGCTTTACCTCAGCAGTACACGTCGGCTGTTGATGTCGATGACAAGGATGCAACGAAAAACACCGCCGACATCCCATAAAGACCCATGACCGGCAGATGATGCAACATCAACACAAGGCATCATGTCAGCGTCATCCCATCAATTCCCATTCCCATTCGAACTACACTGTAGAGTTATATTCCTCTCTTGGAGACACCACTCGACCACACCATGCCCGTAACTAGGCCATCTGCGGATCGACACTATCACTACTCTCTTCAGCCGCTCTGACTCACGCCGGGACCATAACGCGAACAACCCAAGGAAAACCGGCCAATACCAATGGCTGGAGCCTGTGCAGTCCATCATTTGCACGGAATCCAACAAGCATCTGTATCGGCGCAGAATAGTCGAATGTACGTGGACATGTTGCAATACCGCTTGGGCTGATGGCACCCCGGATCCAGTACCCTCGGTATGCAACATACGTCCATGAACCAGGCAGCATCAGCCTTGTTTGCGTGGAATTACCGAGATTGACTGCCCTTTGTGACTTGGTTCCTCAAGCCAGAACGCCTTGGGCTTATTGTGAAGTCGAAACCTTCCATGACCCTTGACAATACTCTGTTCAACTTGCGATATATGGGACATCCACTGGTGCGGTCGATACAGCCGTCGCCTTCTTCGCCCCTACTTGTGAGGATGAGACGTACCCTCTGCGAAAGAAATACAGAGTCCATCACACAGCTATCGGCTTTCCTATGCCTGCGCTCGGTTTCAACGGTACCTTGGCGCTCGCAGATATATCGTCTCCGCCAGCATCCTCGTCCAGACCGACATCTTCAGGCGATGACTCTAACGACATTTTATCCGGCCTGGCTGGCTCTGTTGGCAATCAGCTGATGAAAGGGCTGTTTATCGGCATGGGGGCTGGGTTGTTCTTGGCTTTGGTTACGTGCTGTTGGCTCCCTTGTATAAGGAGATGGGATCGAAGGAGCACGAGGTCAAGGGCGGAAGAGTCTATGGCCATGCAATACGCTGGTTAGCATGGCTCCTTGGGTATTTGAGAGGGTATAAATGCATTCAGTATTGGGTGTGGACTAAGAGTATTGCGTCAGGCGCTTGGAGTTTTCGTCGGGGTGTCGACTTTGGTAACTGAGTAGATGTGTTTGGTGTTTGTTGTACCAATTCCTGTTACTTAGTATCGCATGCTTGCCGGCTGCACTGACAAAGGTGGAGGGGCCTCCCCTCGTACAGGCTGTTATTGTTTCCCTTTATCACACTGAGCAACGAACGGCCAGTTCATTGTTTCACTTTCCATATGATGATGAGGTTCAAATATAGTTTTTTTTAAGTTTTTTTTTGCCCGCCGTAGCCGAAACTTCTGGGAAACCCTTGGTTCGGGTGTCGGTTAATTTTCGTTGACGCTTTTCATGTTTCGCGGATCTATTTCTGGACAAAGGATATTGTTTACACGATGTGTGCAACTATGGGGGCATCTGGCCCTTGTATTTGGCTCCTTGCAAACCGCCCACAGCTGCTGTGGCACAAACACTGCCGAGGACAACTCTCTTCTGTGGAACAAATTCCCCCGGGCTGAAGGAATAAATAAAATTCATGTGAATACCGTTTATTCCAAAGGGTTGACGAGATTGCTTCGCGCGGCTTCACACGACTTTCAAGTACTTAGTAGGCATGATAATTACCCTGTACCCCGTGGCATTACGAACGGTAACAAGCCAGCAACAAAATTATCATTTGTGGTCTAATGCTTAGGTACCAGTGAAATTTTCCTTTTTATTAGTGCATTCGGTTAGGTCTGGTGGTTTGTCGTGCAACTATCAGTTTTTTCTCCCCTTGTTCGAAAGTCTTCTACCCTGATGGTGTCGTTCTGCCGCTATTCAGCTTCTGTTCATATATGCTCGCAGGCTGTTGCTTGCCAGTTCACCAAGACAAGAATTTTATTCGTGAACTAATATGCGTAAACGGGAAACATGAAAGGAACAACAGCAAAACCACCAACACACAATAACCTAACCCTAACCCGACGCCTCAAAAATCCTCACCTCTAAGTGGGCCGTCTACACTTCCGACCATCGCAAGCCACGCACGGACCACATGCCATTTTGACGATGACCACCTTATTGTGTTTTTTTCCCAATTCCTTTCACTTCACTTCACTGCACCTCAACTCAACGCAGTTGCCATTTGCATCACCACCTCATCTCACCCTCCTTCTCCCTTCTCCCCCACCCTCCCTCGAACTACCTGTACAGGTTTTCTTCTCTTCTTTGCAAAGCTTTAACTTGCTGCTCTACGCTTCCCATCACCGCGATACCCTTCCGTGCCCGTCTCCTCCCGCCACCCGCCTCAGCAACCTTTGTCATCAGCTGTCTACCAGGGTCTCTTGCCATTGTCACTTTGCGATCCCTCGTTGATAGGCACCTCCATCACGAGTCATCATTAGGGGCATTAAACCCGATCGTCCTCTCCTTGCGACCTTTCCGCATCGATACCCACGCGCGCACGCGATCTACCACCTTTGTGCCTTAATTGCGGCCCTACCACGCCCACACCTATACCTTGCCGGATCATCCAGAAGAGGGCGACCATGGCTACTAACGGTAACTTCGCGCAGCAGGAGCAGTACAAGGCTGCTGATCCTGCTGCTGGCGCCGAGACGAACAACAACAGCGCTACTCTTTCAAAAGATGAAGTCGGCTGGTATTTTGTTGAGCAGTACTACACAACTCTGAGCAAGTCGCCAGAGAAGCTTCACGTATGTCATGAACCAACTTTGCCGTCGTCAGCTTGATACATTCCGACTAACTGAACCATTCCTTGTAGCTCTTTTACAGCAAACGATCGCAGTTTGTTTACGGTCGCGAGACTGAAGTGGCCAACGTCTCTGTTGGACGACATGTAGGGATTCCCGTTTGCCCTGCCCGCTTTACCCCGTCGCGAACTAACCATTCTGCCACTTAACAGGCCATCCAGGAGCGTATCAAGGCTCTTGACTTCCAGGACTGCAAAGTCTGTGTCACCAATGTCGACTCTCAGGCTTCCTTTGATAATATTGTCATCCAGGTCATTGGCGAGACCTCCAATAAGAATGGCGAGCCCAAGAAGTTTGTTCAGACCTTCGTCCTTGCGCAACAACCTTCTGGGTATTTTGTCCTCAATGACATCTGGAGATACATTATCGATGGGGATGAGGATGAGGAAGCGGCCGCCGAGCCTTCCGACGCCCCTGCTGTTATTGAAGAGGAGACCGCCGCTCCGGCTGTTGCTGTGACTGAACCGGAACCTGTGCCGGAGCCGGAGCCGGAGCCCGTGGCGGAGATTATCACGGAGGACTCCATCAAGTTTGATGCTGATGCTGTTGACGAGAAGCTTCAACAGGCTGCTTCTGCTCAGGTCGATACCCCTGTCAATGGTGAAGATGCCATTGAGACCCCCAAGGCTCCCGAACCCAAGGTTGAGCCAGCCGTCCCTGCCCAGGAAGTCTCTGAGAACCTCACCCCCGAGGCTGAGAGGCCTAAGGAGCCCAGCCCAACACCTGTGGCTAAAAAGGAGCCTGTTCCCGAACCCGCCATGCCTCCCAAGCCGATGACCTGGGCCAGCCGAGCTGCTGCCGCCGCGGGACCCCGACCTGTCGTACCTCTTCCCAAGACTGCTACTCCCCCTGCACAGAGCCAGAGTAGAGCTCCTGCTCCTGCTCCCGCTCCCGCTCCCGCTCCCGCTCCCGCCGCTGCTCCCGCCGCCTCAGCCCAGCCAGCAGCCCCTGCCGCCGCCGCTCCTGCCACCGAGGTTCCGGCTAAGGAGTCGTCTGGCTGGCAGACTGCTGGTGTCGACTCTAAGCGCCAGAACCGCCCTCAGTCCATCTCTGGGAACGCCGCTGAGAAGGAGGGCACCCTTGGCTACGTCAAGTACGTGACCGAGAAGGTTCAGGAAGCAGACCTGCGCAATGCTTTGGCTACCCACGGTGAGCTGTTATACTTTGACATCAACCGTCAAAAGGTACGTTTACATATGACCACATTGAAATCAGAGGGCGAATGTTGACTCTTTGGATTATAGAACTGTGCCTTTGTAGAATACAAGACCTTCGAGGGCTACCATGCCGCAGTTTCTGCTAATCCCCACGTTGTCAACGGTGAGAACATCGTTGTTGAGCCCCGTCGTCCCAAGTCTACAGCCTACGGTGGTAACAACTACGGTTCCGGTCGAGGTAATGCTTCTGGTGGCCGTGGACGTGGAGGTTTCGATGGCAACCGCAATACACAGGGCAGCTCTCGTGGTAACTTCTCCGGCCAGAACCGTGGCCGTGGAGGTGGTGCCCGTGGCCGAGGTGGTGCCCAGGCCAGCTCCTCCTAAATAATGGCCGCCTATTTACCCTTGGACTGAGAGATGACTCAACTGCCACAAGGATTTGAGTGTCGACAGGGCAAGCTTCGCTTCACTCACGACAATGTAATGCCGGGTGAAGCCTAGTCTAATCCCTATGATAAGATATTTTGCTATGGAAAAAAAGTGACGGATAATGTCGGACGCTCTTGTTAACAGAGCTGGGATGTGGATACAGAAGTGGCGCGGAGGTGATGGTGTTTATTGAGTTGGAACTGGATCCAAATTTGGGGACCAGCGCCGGCGCATATGGGTTGAAGTTACATCCGGGATTACCTATTTCTTTTCATTATTCCCTATTGTTTTTTTTCTGACTGCATTGCGCTGCCGAATCAGCATATCTGGTAGTATGGTTGTTGGAGGATTACGATGGAGACGGAAAACGGAACCACCTTCAGCAAGATGAAAGTCTATGCTGCCAAATGCATTATTTGCAGCTGGAGCCTTTTTTAAAAGTTTAATAGTGTGTGATGGATCATCGGATCAAAGATGATGGTCTGGGGTCACAGGAGAAGATTAGGGAAGACCAATGTACAAATTTTCGACATGACATGGTGAGGAAAAGATTGGCGAAAGATGGGGAGGACAAGGCGGTATCAGGAAGGACGTGTAGGTTCTCATGACTGTTTGGGTGACGAGGGTGGAATCGACAAGATGACGGACTGGACAAAAGTTCTTGGCTTTCTTTGGTGGAATAGCATAGCGGGAGCAGTCGAAATAATCGCTGTACAATATTAACAATGGACATAGTCATACACACCGTGTTTGCTCTGCTGCTGCGACCTGTGTTTGTGCAAGGGGGGGTGTACAATGGTGCTGGGGGAAGGAATCCGAAAACGTGGGAGAATTCCAACATTGACCAGGTACGTGTCGAATATTATCGCACCGTCCATGGACGCAAGGTCACTCACGCCCACGACTATACATACACGAGCAGCAATTCCATGCCGCCAATGACACCCGGAAACAGAACAACGTTGACGGGAAAGGAAGTGCAGCGGCGATGCGAGGCAGACGGAGACATCACAGTCACAGTCACAGCCAAGAGGGCGGAATACATGAGCCCAAACAAACCGGACACGACCACGCGGAGCTCCAGCAGGATCTTTTGAAGGCGCCGCAACGTTCAAGACGGTGCTGTGCGTGTTCTGGGCCTGTGCCAAGAAGGGACGTTCCGAGAAGGGATGGGATCTTTTGTCTCGTGCGGAGCTGGGTGGACGTTTTTTGTCGCGTCCGCGGGCCCTTGTTTTTTTTTTATTTATAATTTTTCTTTATACGCTGTGCTTTGTGTGTCTGCCACAAAGGGCGAATTCAGGTGGTTACTCGGCAGACTTGGCTGCCGTGACGGGTCTACGAATTGACATGCCTACATGGTCGTCGGGCAATTGGCTTCTTTTTTGGCTACATGCCGTGGTGTGCATGTACATACAAACATATCCCGGTGCTGGGTGTGTGTGACGTCTTATTAGAGAAACGGAGAGATGTCCGTTGTACGTTAAACGACGGGACGTGGCATGGCATGAACATGGCAACATGGCATGAATCAGGACCAATTATGCCCAGGAAGGCTTTAAGAGGCTGCAACACAGGGAGTAGTTAATGAATGTACATACATATGTATGCATTACATTAAGCTAGGATTCTCAACCTGACCACGGGGCTATGCAAGAATGGAAAGCTGACAGCTCCTCTTGGAATAATACGACCCGGCATGCCGTCTTATTATTAATCGACAGGCAAAGATGAACCGTGCGTTTTGCTTGCGCAATGGTTCCTTGCTGGCTGCACAACACCAAACCCGAGGGGGTCCTGCAGCAGCAACCCCTTGACGATGGGGTTAAAAAACAGGCAGGCACTGTTCTCCGTGACCAAAGGCTTACTTGCCCCTTTGAGCTGCAGCAGGGCGAGCGGGTACAGTCTCATGAGCGGGTGGCGTCGGCATTGTATGTTGTATGTACATATGTATGTTATTCCCAGGCAAACGCGCGCTCCGAGTGTAACATATGTTTATCAGACTCTCTCTGCGGATTTCAATACAATATTGACTGCTTCTGCACGAGTTCTGGAAGGAGTGGAGCAGAGCCCATTTGAACATTGGTTTTGTGGTCATTGGCCATTTTGCTCCCTCCTCGGAACTCGGTCGAAGCCTGGCAGTCCGCCGCGTTCGTCTGTAGGCCCTTCCACGACAGAATTTGAAGCATAACGTGTCTAAATCTTCAGCTTTTCAGCTTCAGCCCTGGCCTGGTGCTGCCTTGCCACCTCTCCCCACATCGCGGCTAAACTCAGAGGGTGAGGACCTTGAAGTACTCCGTACTCCGTATCCCTCGGAGCGGCCCTGTGGAACAGTTGCTGAAAAGACCAAAGGTCATGCAGAATCGTATTCCTTCTCCAGCGATGGGTGAGATGGGTTGGATCACATCCATTGCAATTGCAATTCAGGGCAGCAAGGGCCGTCATTCCCTGCACGGCTGCCTGCGTCCCTTCGTTTAGTAGGAACTTTGCACAAGACCCAATGCCCATGATATCCGTTGAGCCATCTCCAAGTGCATGTAATCAAGCAACACACCACTTGTAATGCCGATGGTCCGGAAAAGGCCATAATTTCGCCGGGTAATGGAAAAACACCCGATCCTTCTCGTCGGGTTGCAAAAAAGGTAAATCGATGACGACGTCTTTGATGTTATGGGTAGGCGGCCGCTGTAATTCATGTCACAACATGGATGCTGATCACATACATGTCTCGCAGGCTGCGTCTGTCTTGTGCTTCATCAGCCAAGTGGGTTTCGTACTCTGGCCATGCAAACACAGGTAGGGATCTGCTTCACCAGTAAACAGAGTGACTGCGACTCGTTGCACCTACTGGCTGGCGCTCATGTGTGAAAAGCGCGCAGGAGCAGGAGCAGGGGAGCCGGAGCCCACGAAACCAGCATGAAGTGGAGGGTCCCAGTCTTGTGCTCCCTGCTTGATCCTTTGCACATATGTACAATACTCCGTACATACATATGTACTTAAGTATGTATGCGAACACGGTGACCTAGGATACCGGGAGCTCGAGAGTTGAGCCACGTACTGTCAGGAAACGATGGTTTGCCACTTTTGAGCGTTGTAGACAAGCGGGCCACGAGCATAGCATGTTTGGTAATTCGGCAGAGGCGTTTGGAAAGGGTGCGGCGGCCTTATTCGTGCCTCGTAATAATTCGTAAACCCTTGATGTACATGAGCCAGTATTGCCGTGCGATCAAGTGCTCTGGTGCATGTAATTACATGGGTCGAGCGCATGTATTTCGCCGCCCCCAGCTGCTGTAATAATTAAACATTGTACTTGCCGAGTCGGTGCTCCAGACATTGCAGGCCAGATACACAGTAGATCGGCATTTGTGAAGCAACCAGGGTGGAGGGGAACGGGTCAAAGGGGTGTGAGGGTGGTTGTGATGACACTGATGAGCGGTGGCTGTCTGTGCGTGCCATCGGAACGTAAAGCACATAATCGCAAGACCGGATAGGGAGACCAGACCAGGCACTGAGCAAATGTGCTTGAGATACGTACAGGATGCCATGTGCGTGGCACAGGGACAGGATGAACGGCTCCCTGCCTATATCAGCGCGATATAAGCTGATCGGGTTGGCGGGATGTGCCGATCAATCGCGGATATGTGGCGGCTTTGTCGTCTGCTTGGCATCAATTTTGGTGTTGGTTGGCTCAAGAGGCCAGAGATGCAGCATGTACAATACTCGTACATAGTCGTGCATATACTATGCTGCAGTTTTGAAAATAGGATTCTATGGAGCTGCCGTCTGAAATTGACTCCGCAAAGAGACGAGCTTTCCCATGGCGTATGTATGCACTTCGGCCAACCGTGCGAGTCATCCCAGCAATCGAACGATACGGGCTGTTGAGGACGACTGCCCGCGGCATGTTTCACAAAATGCCGGCGATCCGATAGGAATGCTACATGGGCAAACCGAGAAAAGTTTCGAGTCGTAACAAAATATAAAGGCATTGTACATGTGACAATGCGAATGGGGCGTTCGACCGAGGATGAACACTGACGAAGCTTTGGGCAATGGAGTGAATCGAATCTTTGAGCTCCATGGCATTGCATTCGTGTGCACCATCCCGTTGCCATAATGACCGAAACGATGTCTAAAACCTTATCCTTCCTCTTCAGCTAGTCAGGTGGAACTTTTCAAAACATGCATGACGTTGAAGCCAAAGCCGAGCACAGTCAGGCCAGGCTGAAGAGTTGTACTTCGTTGTCACGCAGCAATAACGGCTAAGATGGAGACGACTTGGACCCGGAACTTGTTCAGCGCAAATCCAATAGAGAGTTTTGTGCATCTTATACGTAGGGCAGAGTGCGATGTCTCTCCCCAATGCAGATCTGTCCCGCAACGACGATGCTCTGAATGGCTCACTCCGACTGATATGAGGGTTGCAAATGTGTCGTCGCAAGACCGCGGTAAATCCGCACGAAGCGACCATGATGGCTAACATGGAACCTGCTTCCAGAACTCGACATGGCCTGGGGCTACGCAAACATGGATGGAGTAACGACTCGAGGACTGACTGAGAAATAAGAAGCAAGAAGTGAGATGGTCGCCGTAACAATCAGTGTTCGATGGATACCCCCAGTGTTGCAGAGGGCAGAGGCAAAAGGTCATTTGCTGGAACGCCGTAATCGACTTGAGAGCATTAACGCAATGGCACCCCAAAGGTGCCAAGGGCATGATCAAAAGTTCCGGTGTTTTGGGCCGAGGGGTGCGCGCATCACTCCACACGTATCTTATTGGATGGCCAGATTTGCTCAGAATTTCCTCCTTCCGTCCAATCTGATCTCTTGTCGACAACCTGCTTGGTTTCTGGACAGGTCAAAGTTGGGCAAGGTAGCGTCGAGGACCTTTGTGTTTGCTTGGTCAGCGTGACCTATCTTCTGAGAGAAGGATTTTCGTCCTTTACCAGTGCAGGTGTGCCACGGTTTAACAGCCATTGTCGAAACGAAGTACGACTGCGTCACTGCTTCTGATTCTCAGGTCCAGGCATATTCCACAATATCGAGCATTGGAACGACCAAGTCTGTGTTTGATGACGCCGATCCTGATTTGCGTGTCGCCCTTCAGTATCTCGGCCAATGCGATTCGGAGCAAAGAAGACAACCGGTCATGAATGAAACCTCAGCCAGGGAAGCGATTATCTCAATCGATCGTTGGTAAACCCTGCACTCATTTTCTGTCTGACTGATTCCGTTGTCGGCGCATGGCGGCGAAATCGTGTTATATTTCGACTATGCTTTTGTAATACAGCACTCTGGCAGTTCCGACACGTCCCACCGTCGCCAATAGCAGCAATAGCAGCGAGTTGGATCTTGGGTGGAATACTGCTTCTGCCCTGAACTATTATTTTCTCGGTTTCTCGCTCCCAACGGGTGTCCGGCAAAGCATACCTGGGTAGGCATTAAAAATCTCCACCGATGTGACGTCTAGACGCAACCCTGGATTCAAAGCTCTCACAGTACGGAGCATTTGTATACCATAACGCACTGGGGTGGGAACCTCCATCGCAGCGACTGAGCAAAGCCTCGATCTGCCTGCGTCGGAGACGCCTTCTGGCCAACATTCTCCCCCCACCCACCCTCTCTCTCTCTCTATGTACTCCGTATGTTGCTCCGTTTGTCGCTCCATGGGCCCTTGCGTGGCACCTACCAGCCCCGGTTTAGCGTATCGCCAGCCTGAGTTGCCCCCGGGATCGGGAGGCCTTTCGGCGAAGCCTGCTAGCCCTCGACATTGGGCTTGCTCTGGTTTGCAGCAGCAGTAGTCGCCAGCGCCGGCGGCCGGGGCATCGCACAATGGGACAAGGTTTTAGCTCTGGAGCCTGGCTGGTCCATGGAACTTTTTTCTGACTGCGTACTGAAGCCCAGCCTGGTGAAGGACAGGGAATGCTCAGGGTTGGGGGTGGACCTAGCCTTGTATTGCGACGCCCCGGTCCAGTTGTTTTGGAGTCTCAGTCAAGCCTCAGTCGACGGCGAGCAGGCGCTGTCATGTAAAATTTGTCGTCTGTTGTCCTGAGTCAAGCGGTTGCAGTGGATTTGATAGAGTGGGCGATGCGAGAAATGAACCCGTTGCCATGTTGTGCAGAGCGGCCCGGGCTGAGTCGTGCCCTGGCCGTGCGCTGGTCACATCCTGTGGTAGCACATTCCCAGCCGGTCTCACGCACCGGCCGGAAGCGATTCCCTGCGGGCAGTCGCAGATCTGTGGCGCGTCTTGGTGCTGAGGTTTCAAGGTCGTGTGGGTGATGTTGGTTGGCCGTTGGTGGGCCGTTGGCTGGCGGGCACCCAGCAAAGTCGTTGGGTCGTGCATGTCCGACTGTAGCGAGGCTTCGACTGGCTGGTTTTCCGCCAGTCGCTCTTTCTGGAACAAAGCCGCGCCTTCCAAAAGTACTGCGCATCGCGACCAGTTGTTTGCGGGTTGAGTTGCACTTCCCTTCTGGTCGAGCCGGCTTATGCTACGTCGATGCATCTGGCCTTGAGCTAGTATTTCCCTTCCACCAAACACTTCGCCTTCTGCCTGAAGACGCCAACCGGTTGAGCCGGTCCAATTCTGGGACCGCGGCCTTATTATAGTCCTGCAGCTTTCCTAGCTTCATAGGTATGTACATGGGGCGTGGGCATCTCCAAGAGCAAGATCTAAGATTAGCCTAGTTATTTTGTCCTGGCCTTTTTGCTGGCCCCAGACAACTCTCAGCTCCGTACAATCTGCGTCTTCAACTTTCCACAATATATCTCGTTCGATTCACAACGTGGCAGTCACCATCGCAACTACTGGGATACTGTACCCGCCGTTCATACCCCAATACGCCGTACTGAGGGTCGTCTCACGTCGACGGGTCTCATCGTGAAGCTGGCAGCCCGGGACATCCGCAGTATCCTGCTTGTGGCCAGACCTGACTTGCTGACGTACGCCACGCCCGTTGTCTTCTCTGGCGCCCTTGAGGCTCAAAGCCGCTCATTTCCCCGGCTTTGTGCTCCACCCGAAATCGGTGCGTCGTTGTCGCCGCCTGTTATAGTAATCTTCGCGGTCCATCATCATTCGAAACGGTCATCCTCGAGTACTTCTCAGACATTCCCGGCCCTGTCCTGTCGCGTTATGTGGTTTTACCACCCGGGCATCCCCAAGCATTGTACGGAGTACTACGCACGTCTCTGCCACCTACAAAGGCCAAAACTTTCCTGCATACCTAGGTAGGTCGCAGAGCTCTCTCTCACACCCCTCCCCCCGGTAACTCACACTCGAGCTACGGAGTACTTTATTATCCATCTACTGTCACGCCGATACCTAGGCTAGGTACATAGCCCAGCCAGGAAGTCCGTAGAACCTCTCGCCACTAAGACGTTGGAGTCCTACATGTCCTTTTCTCCATCCCCACCTCTCGTCAGTACAACTTCAATACAACTCTGCAAGCTATCCACCGCCGGCATTCCTCTTATTGATACATTGGTATTTTTGGGTCCTTGCTCCATCGCGGTTCCCACCCGAAAACCCAAAACTCTACCTGCTCCGTCCACATCGACACTAACAAAAGAGCCGCCGCATTGCAACCACATCCTGGACACTCGTCAAACCCCCCCCACGCTTGTGCCCTTGAGACGTGGTTTTCTCTCGAGTGTCTCCCGTCCTCGCCACTTTCTCACTTGACCCGTCATGTTTTGGAGCGGGTCGCTATGATCAAACTTCATCCTCGCTCCATCTACGGAGACTCCTGTTAGCAGAAGGGTGACGCAGTGTCGCACACGCCCTGACACTAGCAGCGTCATCTTGGACCGCCTGGTACTAGACGTTACCGTTCTTTCTTGACCGAGCCCGGTACATATAAGCCGGTCCTTTCCCATGGACCCCTCCGAGGTCTCGGTCCGTGACGATGGACAACCGACTGCGCCGTCTACGCCGCCTCTACGGCGGCGTTATTCCATGGAGGAGGATATGTATTACAACCGCGTAATGGTCGCTCCACCACGACGACTTTCCCAACCGCCGGCCTACGAGCCCAATCCCAATGACTCAGATGAGGGCGAGGATCCAGGGCCAGGTCGGAGGAAAGGGAGCCAAGCGGTGTTCGACCAGTCAAACGAAGCCGAAGAAGGAAGCGAGTCACTTCCTAATTACCAAAGTTCACTGTATATCGAAGGAGTCTTCTCCAGAAAGCATGAGATTGAAAACACCACAAAACGAGCTGAGGATCGTCACTGGCACACCAACTTTGTCACCCTAAACGGAACTGCCCTAAACGTGTATACCGTTAAGAAGGACTGGGGATGGGGCCGGAGCCGAGATGGTCCTACTATATGCCCCGACAACCCTCCGTGGGTGAGAAAGTCAAAGCTTGAGAAGAGCTATAGCCTCATACACGCCGATGCTGGCATCGCAGCCGACTATACAAAGTGAGTTCGTCCTCTGGCCCCCTATCGTCGAGACGTTTGAGCACTAACATTTGAGAAAAGACGTCGATATGTCATCCGTATCAGGGCAGAGACTGACCAGTTTCTTCTGTCATGTATCGAGTTAGCCACGTTTGTAAAATGGCTTGAAGCCCTATTTGCGGCCATCGACGTTGCCGCCCCTATTGATGACCGGGATTTTCCCCGTGACATGTCGATTCCTCGCATTCAACGGATTCGATGGTATCAGGGCCAATCACCGGCGCTCCCCGGTTATGCGGTCTCTACCGAGCAATCCAGAAACAATGAGACATCTGTGGAAGGCCCGGAATTGTCCAGCACGACGACACAAACGGATTCCAATGTTGGCTTATCGTCTTCAACCCGACCACCACCAACTCTGCAACCGCTGCAGGAAGCATCTGCCAACCCACCCCCGAGAATCGAACCTCTCAGCCGTCGCATCAGTACCTCTTCTTATCCCAACCCATCAATCGATCCGCACACGGGAAAGTGGTTCCCTGAACATCAGTGGTCGAGCGCCCACGATCTGTTGTACGCTAAGCTATGCTATAGCAACTTGTTATTCAGGAGTCCTCGAAAATCCAACTACATTATCAGCAAGGGTAAACAGTGGTTTGTGGATTGGGGAACCGGTAAAATGGTCCGTGTATTACCTCCGACATATGGCGAGATCGATTTTTTCGGACCCTGGCAGGTCATTCATACCGAAAACCCTAGGATTTAGAGGTCAAGGGTTTGTCAGTATGCCGGGTTGTGATTTTTGCCACTTGGAAAGAGAGGACTCTACATGAATGTCAATTTCGAACGGCATGATTCATGCTTTTGAAAATTCGACGTTGGGTTTTTGCAGCAATGGGATGAGATGAGGTTCGTCGATGGACTCGGGTCGGAGCAATCCGGCGTTCTTGGCGAATGCATGCCAAGCACTGCCATCTGGACCCTTTAGCCTGGCCATGATTTGTCCCACCTATATGGGCAGTTCTCTTTTTCACGCCATCATGATGACATTGTTAAACCCCCCTTCCGAAAGAGATCGGAGGAAATTCACTATCAAGCCATAACAGGTCCCATTGGAAGGATGATTCATCACTACAAAGACAGGCGATATATCTGGTGCATTTACGGAGCAATTGAAAGAGCATTATCATATACAAAGAAGGTTTGGTACTACTTCATTGGGCGGAGTTTTTTCGGTACGTGTTCATCTTGTTGATTCTGGGTATATTCCAATGAATGTACAGCCACTATCTGGGTATCGGGACTTGGCGTTGGCGATGTTTTATTGTACATAGCAATCATTTGATAGGATCAAAATGTTGGTTCTTGAAATGTCTCTTGTCCATTCCGCAAGAGTCGTCGCGCGTATTGTATTCCTGGGTATCTATAAAGTCAGTGAACTCCAAGCGCCCAACAAAGCTATCCTCCGTGTCCCAAAGCGTCCTGTGACCAGTGCAGCCCTGTCACGATGGATGCATGCACCAGTTCATGAAACAGAGGCGTCGCCCATGTCGGCATCGATTCCCCTCGCCTCCCCGGCCAGCTCGCCCACAACACCGCCCAGTACGCCATTCGCAGACCGCACATCCTCCACCGCGGCATCCAGCTTCCCCAGCAAGGCGTCGATCTCCTCCCTCTGCGCCTTGACATGGTCCGCCAGCAGCCCGTTCTGCGCCTGTGTCGTCTGCAGCCTGGCATTGAGCAAGCCCCTCTGCTCCGCGAGCCGGGGACCTAAATGCGCCCGCAGCACCTCTTCGGGCGATAGCAAATGCGCCCTGTTATCCAGTTTCCCCTTGTTAACAAAAGTGTTAAAGAAAAAAAGAAGAAGGGAAGATCCAAACTTACGGCGTGGGGAGGTCCTCCTCGCCGTGCAGCTTTCTCCGCGCCTCCGCGTCGGCAACCAGCCCCTCGAGCTCGTTCATCTTGCGCACCACGCGCCTCGCGCCGAGGATGGCGTCAAACTCCCTCTCGCACTTGTCGCGCAGCCGCTCGACCATCTGGGCCTGCACCTGGCGCAGCACGGGGGACGCGCGCCGCGCAATCGTCGGGTAGCAGGGTGCCACGTTGTCGTACGAGAGCTTGTCGAGCGTGCGGGCCAGCGAGGCCGCGTAGATCTCTTGCAGGCGGAGGGCGCGGGGGCCCGGCTTGGCCGCTCCTCCTCCTCCTTCTGCTTCTTCCTCGTCTTCTTTCTGCGGCTGGGCGGTTTTCTCTGGCTCCGGCTCGGTGGCCATGTCTTTTGTGGGAAAACTGGAAACTTCGCAATGGGTCAGACGACGTGCTTTTTTGTGGTGGGTGGTGGAGGGCCGGTTTGAACGGCCGAGGTTGGGACGCGAAACGCGGCTTGCAGAGGACGAGTTGAACTCGAACTCCCCCACCACCACCACCACGTGACGGGCGGCGGCGGGGAGGATCTTGCCGCAGGATGCTAGCGGGGCAAGGGGTAGTAGGTTGTTTTGGCCGTTTTAAGAAGGTGCGCGGTACGAGAATAGAAGCTCATGTCGGACTCGCATACTACTTGTGTCGATATACATGATGGGCTGGGGTGGCTTGCATACGGCACCGGGGAAGGGTGGGCGTATTGTGCTTTTGCAGCTTTTTTTTTTTAAATCTTTGTTGTGTAGACTCGCAATAATTTTTTATTGTGACGTAATTCCTTATGCCCAGGAGTGATTGGATGTATGTACATGTTCGTCTGGGGCCTTGGTGAACCACATCATGAAGCGTCAAGTTGGTGACGCAGCTCTTTTAAATCTAGAAGGTGTACTCCGTACGTGGTATTTTAGACCATATTACCAAAAGATTGCGTGTGTGGTTCAGCTGGTGCGACTTATTGATAGTAGCGGATGGGCTGCATTTACATCCATAGCCAATCCTCATTTATACTTGAAATGGACAAAGTAAATATATATACATGACGTCGCGTCGAAAGGACGTTTCTTCGTCCCTGGTTTATCCACCCGGTCTATTGGGGTATTTCCAAATATTCCCATTGCATCTTAACACTCGATGCGCCAAATCAAGACTCCAACGCCAAGGTCATTGCCCCCATATGGCAAGAGGAAAGTGTGTGTAACTGTCTCTCTAGCTTGCAGACAATATCATGGCTGCATCTGCCGCCGAAGTGTTGTCATTTCTTCCCCCGTCTCTCTTCAACCTCTCACGTTCCCTCTTCCGCTTCTCTGATTCCTTCTTTTTCTGCTGTGCCAGGTATGTCGTATATCGAATCATTCCCAGGGTGAGGATGGCCAAGAAGACAAGGCCAACAACAGAACGTCGAATCAATACCCATCTTACGCCTTCAATTTCCGACTTGCTATCGCTGCTGAGCAGAATACTCATCTTGTAATTGATTTTTTGGATCTGATTGGAGGTTATTAACATGATCAAGTATGGCTCCCACCGACAAACTCACAGCACTCTCGACGGATTTCTGTTCCTCTCGAACAGCCATGTTTCTGTCATTGAATAGCCCACGGACGGCGTCATTAAGAGTCAGCAGCTCCTGGTTAAGCGATTGTGTGAGAATATCGACTTCGTGCTGCAAATGCGTCCGTTGTTGTCTCATTTCTTCTTCTTGCAATCGGCGATTGTTCTTGATTTCCGTGCTCAGCTCCGAGCAGGCTGCTTGGAAGAGATAAGTCTCCTGTCAGCCTTGTCAGTCATATCACGCTGCATGCGTTTTACTTTGGACACGTACATTTTCAACATCGCTCTTGCTGACTAGACTCTTCTGCGCTACATCCAAGTTCTGACCAAGAATTTTCCGGATCGCCTTCATCGAAGTGACAGCTTGCTCGCGTGAGTAACCGCCCTCCTCCAGCTGCTTCACCAGAGAGTAGCTATCAAAGTGATGTACATAAGGTGGTGGCGCCATATGCGGGTGTTCAACCTTGTCGGGGGATGGCATGTGTAGAACAGCCTCGAGCGAAGGAGCAGCAGGAGAATCGACGTCGGAGGTTGATTGACTCGGTTCCTCTGCGGCGTTGCTAGAGTCAGCTACTTTGGTAGTAGCGGCCGAGTCCCCTGCTTTACTGGTAGGGGAGTCTGCCGAGCTCATTGTCGCCGTCTCAGCTTGCACTGAAGAAGACTGCTCAAGCTCCGGGCTTGCTATCTTGTCCGCAGCGGCGCGTGGTTGGGCGCGTGGTTGCTTGGTATCTGTTGTTTTTGTTGCCTCGGTGGCTTTCGTCTCCTCCTGTGCCGGGGCTTGATCGCCATCATTTTTTGATTCGGTTGACCGCGAAGATTGCGCCTCTGCTTCCTGGGTTTTGTTCCAAGTCGGCTCAACAGCCTTTCCATGCCTAGCGGCAAACGAACTCTTGGATCTCGTCGTAGCCACCCATCTTGTTGCCACCGTGCTGGGCGTGACGGATGTTCGCGCCGCCCGCAGCAAATGCGGATATAAGAAGCTCAGTCTACCAGTAGCCATCGTTCGTTATCGAGGTCGACGGAACGCAAGCTCGGGCGTGGTGTCCCAGTACCAAGTAGTTGCAAAGAAGGGGGAGGGTGGACCCCGGGGAGTGATTTGTGTGACGGCGCTATAGAAAAGGTAGCTTCATCGGGGTGGACGAGGTGATAGTATGGACTAAAGATTGAAGAGTAAATTTTCGAGGGCGAATTTAATGAAATGGGGGAATTGAAAGAGTACGGGCAGGCGTGAAGCAGCCTCAACTATGGGAGGCATGGTTGTGGAACTCGGGAACTTCAAATTACGTACTAATTCCAGGGTACTTAAGTAGCGTCTAGAAACACAGCGATGTCGCTGTCGGCGTCCACTGGTACTTAGCATGCACTACTTTAGTAAGTAAGTACTCACTCCCTCGAATGTACTCCGTACTGTTGGCGGGGAATGTCGAGCAAGCCACAACAACCCTTCAATGTTCCCGCCTCCTTGGTTCGGCCGAGGGGCTCAAGAGCTCCCCCCCCAAAAGACTATCTGAATTCCTGCGTGCCGCATTTCCATCCGTCTCACGCTGCCTCAACCCTTCATTTGAACTTCCCAATAGTTGGCTCCCTACCAAGCCACATATAACAAGATTTAAGCGCAAAGAATGGGTTTCTGACACGCAGTCATATTACGCACTGGCACTCAAGTCATAACAGATCCTCAGACACCACGTCGCTTTTGAATCTCGTCATTTCTGCACAACGCTCATGGACAGTGGACAATTCCAAGATCAGAGGGAAGAAGAACCCTCAATACAGTTCTCGCTAGAATACAGTCCCGAACCAGAGTCCAGTTCAACCCATCCAAATCTCGCCGAGATGTTCCAACCATAACCCCTGTAACCGTTTCATCCAAGCGGTTTCATTCGTTTCATCGGGATGCAAAAACCCTCCAAATGGGAGAAAATGACAGCTTGCGAAAGCTGCAAATCCAGCATTGCAGAACCCCACAGCCCGAGTCCCCAGAAGAACCAATAAATAAGAGCAAAAAGCGTCACCATTCCAATACTAAACAGAAGGAAAAACTAAAACAACCAATAGTTTCCTTGAATATTTTGTGCTTTGTCGCCAATAATGTTCCGAGAAAGAAATAGGCATTTAGTACACCAGTTTAGGCCACCATGGTACGGCCTTCTTGGTGTTTGAAGAAAGTTCCAGCGACGTGAAGTGGTGCAAACGTGAATATTTTTTTTCAAAGAAAATCCCCCTCCTCCCCCCGAGAACGATCAACTCCGTCAAGGAGATGCAGTTCTCTTGCCAATGCCAAATATTAGTAAGTTGTATCGAGTATGCGTATATGCATTTGTAAACGTTGCTGCTGTAAGGATGGACATTATCTATGCGAGACGGCGTGAGGTGGATGTGCTTCTGCGCCGCCGTGTGTCTGCGAGTTTGATGCCATAGGACTTTGTTTTATTGTCGTTAATACAAAATAGTGGAAAGGAACGAAGACGCGGTCGGGAACCGCGACAGTCATATTGCCACTTCGTCATCCCCGTACACAGATTGATCCGCAGCGTGTCAGCTAGGCTTCTTCCTCTCGCACCTGAAGATCGATCATGTTAGACAGCTCATCAGATGTCTTGTTTCCACTCTCTTCAGCAGGAATGCTAACAGCGCTTGCATGAGCACTGCGTGGGCTGCTGCTCTGCGGGCTGCTGGTTTCGTTGGTGAGAGCCGGGGTGTCCGCAGCGGAGTTGAGGTCTGTCTGAGCGGATGCAGCGTCATTCCTCGAAGGAGAGCCGCCGGATCCTAGGCCAAGAAGTTTCTCCAGAGCCTGAAGCTGCCGGGATGTTCCATTCTTCTTCAAGGCGTAAAACTGAGGCTTGATCTCTTCCACCAACATCTCCCTCTCCCTGCCCTCAAGTTGGCCAAGGAGTTTTTCTGGCACATAAGTTAACTTTGGGCAAAACGCACTTTTAACAAGTTGGTGTGACTTACGAATAACATAATTGCCATATTGGTCTCGCATCATCTGCTGAAGTGGGCTGGTCCCATCGCTACCCACGGTGGTAAGCTGTTCTCGAATACTGGTTCGCTGCTCAGCTGTACCATGCTCGATGCACTTCTCCACGACATTGGACGCAAACTTGTGTTTGGAAAGAGTGAGCAGCTGGGCCATAACAAGGTCAATCATCTGGGCTCGATCTTCAGGCTTGCCGTTTTGAATGACATGCTGTGCCACATAGTTGCCATATTGATCCGTGATGAGTATCTGGGCAGACGCATGCAACTCCATCATAATCTCCATCTTGTCGCTCTCTGTCCCATGCTCTAGCATGCGCTGAATGACGCGGCAGCCGTACGTATGAGATGCAAGGGCAGTGACTTGGCCCCTAACTGCGTTCATGATGAAATCAATGCACTGTCTTGGAACCAGTTCAATAATCTTCTGGACCACATGATTGCCATTTTGGTCGCGAATGACACGCAAAATTTCTGGCTCAAGCTCCTTTGTCAATTCGGCTTGTTGTTCAACTAACACATGTTCGAGAGCCTGGTCAAATTTGTCAGCAAGAATTATATCTGCAGAAATCAGATGGCCGTACCTTTTGAACGACACGGCAAGCATAGACCTGTACTGAAAGGTCTACCACCTTGCCCTTCATTTTCTCAGCCAATACTTTCTTCTGCACTTGGTTGCCGTGTTCGAAAAACTTCTGAACAACATAGTTACCAAAGACATCCTTCATCAACTGAATAGCATTTGGTTCAATCTCTCGGAATACTTGATCTTTTTCATCGCTGTTGGCTGACTCTAACTTCTGCTGGATAAATCTCGAGCCAT